CCCCTGCTATATATGTATCTCGCTACCGTTTTGCAATTAAAATTGCAATTTATAGCTGGTGGAAAAAAGTAAATTCAGCTGCGCCTTCGGGCGTCGGTGCAAATTTGTACAGCAATTAAATGGTAGATAAAAAGCCGACTTGAAGGGCTGCCAATTCCTGGTTGATTATACGGGAAAACCAGTTTATGGCCTTAGACAAGCCGAGGCCTCTTCCATCTGCGTCAGCCATTGGCTTCAATGTCAAGCTCAAGTCCGCTGGCTAAGCGCAGGCAAGAGCTTCGTTTTAATTAATAAAAATCTGAGAAATGGGCACAATTTAAATAAAGTTGCGTGCCGATGCTTAGAAGAGGCAGCAAGCCACTCATTTTCAACCGTCGCCAGTTGAGAAATCTTGGGCACTTGGCACAAGCTCCAGCAGCAACAACAATTAACAAAAAGCAACGACGAACAGTAATCAAAATAAATATCTGAGGGAACATAAATAAAGAATTAAACAATCGCATTCGTCACATCGCATCGCACATGCAGCTCAATTTAATTCAATGCAGGAATTCTATGTAATATACTCTTTCACAAAGATTTGCTGAGCTATAACTAAAACTTAAAACATAATTAAAATAAATGTAATATGTATTAAAACACTTCAATTATTCAAAAGCTTAGTTGTATATTCAATCATATATATAAGTACTTCCCTTTGAAGTAAAGCACATCTTCCGAAAGAGCATTAAAACTTTGATTTAAAAATATTGCAAAAAACCCAGCTTGTTTACATGCATTAAAAAAAACATAGGAGAACACACGCGATACAAATGCACTTAAGAATGCAATTGCATTAAATTCGATTCTAATCAATTCGGAATGAAAAAAGTTCAACTTTCAGGCTCTGAAAGCCAAACCTGAAAACCCAATGAATTAGCATAATTTCAAATCTAAAAAAAACGTATCTTTTGTTTGAATCGAATTCTCCCACGCCCATAAACCGAAGTTGCATGCCAATTGTTAATTAATAATTATTAAAATGTATTTTACACACTTTTCATTGTGCATTCACTTGAAATGCAAAGACCCATGCATTTACTACGCGGCGAGCAATTTTTTCATACAAACTAAGCGAATCTTTTGCGCTTGAACAAAAATTAATTCGTTTAATAAGCCTCCGGCGGCACGCTAAAGTTTTTAGTTCGAGCTCAGAGCGCCGACTTGTCGGTAGAATTGGAATCCGCGGAATGAACGATCCACCCCGAAAAAGATTCCCAAGTGAACAAGTTGTGAAAAAGAAAGTGCAATCCATCCGCATTACCTCTTCTGATTCACTGGCTCCAGAATCATTGGCTAATTGGGATTTCAGTGCGATTTCAGCCCTATAAATATCGGTCGTTAAAGAAGATTCAGGTTCATTAGTGCAAGTGATATTGTAGAGGCGAGAGTTCAGTTGCAGAGCTATTAAATCAGAAAAAGCACCAGGTAAATGATTGCCATTATGGCTAACTTATATCATGGCTCATGAAGAAAAAAACATTGCATGTAAAGTGAATATGGCCAAAGTGATGAGAAATATGCTAATAATATTAAAAAATTTCCATTATTTAGCATAGTATATGTATTATAAAACCCAGAAAACAGAACAGATAGGGCTCTACTTTGTAGGGCTTTACAGCTGTTGGCTTGTTACTAGAAATTATCCCATTTGTTTGCCTACAAGCCATTAAAAATCTTCCCATTACCAGCAGTAGCGCAATTAAACGAGAAACTAATGGACAAATATAGGGGCTAATTGAAATGATGCCAGATTTCCCCTGAATTCAAACTAACGCAACAGCTTTGTATTTAGGCAGCCAACTCTAGTTGATTTAATCAATTGAAATGACAAAATTTGCTGCCGTTTGTCACGCCCCCAAACGTGATGCAGTTGTTTGAACTTTCAGCAGCTTCCCCGTCAATTTGTCAGATATTTTCCATTTGTCATTCAATGCCAACACTTTATCAATGCGAAGACGTCATAAACAATCAATTGTCCGCCGGGACAGGAATCAATTGTGGGCTCAATTGCAAAGTAAATTGAAGGCATTATGCAAAGACTTTTGGCGGAAGACTTGATTCATCTTTGCCTTCAATTACGAGACCTTTTTTGCTAATAGCACTGCGGTAATTAAATTTTACAACCGAAAACTTAAAGAACTCTGCTTCTTAGACTCCCTTTTGTGGGACTTTCAGTGCGAATTATGCAGGCAAATTGAATTTGCGCCTGGCGATAGGCAACAGAAAATGTCAAATTACAAATGTTGCGCATACGCCCCGTGTATTTGGTGGTAGAACGGGGTGGCAGGCAATTAAATAAATATTTAAATTGCGTATGATTCAATTAGAGTCGTGTTGCCGTGTGAAAGATATGCTTTTTAATTGCGAGTCCCAAGACTCGTAATTTACTTTTAATTAGCGAAAATCATTGAGGCGTAAAGCGAGCGTGGGACATTTGGATTTGATTTGGAATGGGAATGGGAATGAGATGGGGAATGGGGAATGGGAAAGCCGCTTACTCTTGATTTGATTACATTTTAAAAAGACAATCGGCTTACTGCCTTCCGTAGCAACCAGCGGCTAGCGACGCAATGCAATCATCGACCGATGCGGGCAATGGTGGACCAAGAAAACACACGCAGAGCACAGCCCCCCAGAAGCAGTCGGAGATTAGCGAGACCACCTCCTTCACCGTAAACGCAACCACCACCAGCACCACCACCAACAGCCAGCAGCAACAGCATCCCGGAGGACCCGCCAGCAACACGCCCAGCAAAAATCCATTCAAGCAGCAGTTGGACAGCACTCAGCAGAATGGCAATATGGAGCAGGATTGCGGCATCATGGGCGTCGGCAAGGAGCCACCGGTACCGCCGCCGCCCACCTACCAGTCGCAGTCCTACGCAGGACGACAGGCTCCGCCGCCAGCGGATCAGTACCGCGAGGAGGATCCACGCGCTGCCGGGTCCTGGGCCGCCGCCAAGTCCTGGATGGTCAGCTGGCGGGGCTCCAATCGCCTGGTGCTCGTCATCGTGGCCATAGCCCTGCTCCTCGACAACATGCTGCTGACCACAGTGGGTGAGTTTAACTGCCTGTTCGGGCTGTTACCTTAAGATACCATATATTACGTCGCATAAATCTCATGCCCTGGTGGCCATTAGCATTTCATGAGCATTTATCTCCAGGGAGCTGGCAATCCTTGCCAGCCAATGGCCTGGAAATTGTCCATTTCCTTGGGGGAATGCGCCAAGTGGTGGCATAAAATTACCACTGAGCGGCACTTAAGCTAATGAACGCTTTCCTGTCAATGCGAATGGCGGTTGTCAGTTCATCAATCCCAAAGATACGGACAGCTGAGGTTTCTCAGGATTAACAGAGATGTTCTTAGATTCGATTAAATACTATAAACATTTTTTTATCTTATGTTATTTAACATGCATCATATCCCTTATTAAAACTGATTCAGATACCAGATACTAATTAATTAAGCTAAACGAAGGGCATTCATTGCGATATATGATAAGCAGAAGCTGCAGTAGTAGCTCAGATAGTTCGGAAAAGCTTAGTGCGCGCCTAATTTATGTGCGAAGACCTGCAATTAAATCAAATACCATCCAGCAACTAATCAATGCTGAAGTGCCCCTGCTTAGTCATTATCAGATGCCGATACGGATGCCGATGGCCAATGGAGCAGGCTGAGTTGGGCAGCTCCAAGTGCCGAGCCGTCGACAGTCAATTAAATGGACACGCACTGGAGGAGAAGACCCTCCTGCAGTTGACACTAAAACCCCACCAGGGAAAACTCTGCGAAAGTGGTGGGGGAATGGTGGATGTGGTGGATGTGTCCAGCACCAAGTGCTTATGTCAAGTGGCTGGCCAAACACATGGACATTGAGTGGGAATCCTCCGGTGCTCCAGCCTGACAAATACAGCAGGGCGAAAGGAAAAAAAGAAAAACCCGAAAAAGAAGTGGGACGAGATTCTTTCTTTTGTGCCAAACGTTCATGAATTTAAATCAACAAGTTGGGCGAAAAAGCAAACGGAAATAGCCGAACCACTCGAGCAACTTGTTGAGATGGCACGGAAGTGAAAGTCAAAGGAAAAGTGGAAAAACTATTAGCTCCATAGGAGAAGTTTCCCACCCAGCTAGCTGACAGTATAAACGGATGGCAGAATAGGAAAAGGGGAAAAGCGGCTGGGCTTTTAGCGTTTGACTGGCGGCATTTCCACTTAAGTGCTTTCCCGCTTCGCGCTCAAGGTGCTGAAGTGAAAATTGCTGCAAATACATTTGATTATTACATTTGATCTCTGCCCTACGCACTCACCCCCCACCCTCCTTTTTCCCGCATTTCTCCTTTCTCGCATAATATACTCGTAAATTAGATTTAGCAGGGCGCCTGTGGAGATTTATATGGGCCATGGCGCTATCCGCTTGACTCGATAACAAATTGAATATGCAATAAGCTCTTGTTTTATTGAAGAAGATTGAATAATAGTAGCTTAAATAGGGTTACTTTGGTCATATGCTTAGCCAATAAAAGGAGTATTTTGCATCGACATTTGCTTGAACTATGCAAATTGATTGTTTTAGTGCTGTAGACAATGCCTAGGGGTGCTAAGTAAACAGTAGATTGGACTTACATCTTACATGTTGGTAATACTGTTTAAAGCTACGTGTTGGAAATTTGTTTTGGATTTTAAGCTAGCCTCGATTTTGACTTAGCTTCGTTCATTATTTTCTTCCGATTGGATTAATCAAACATTTGAATTGAATATACAAGTATTTAAGCTGTAGCACCAGGAAGAAACACTAGTTCCGGCTTTTCACAGATATTATATATATTAAATATACCTAGTCGAATGATAAATTTGGTATCCGGGTCTTAGTAAGACATCTCAGCTATCCTATCCTAGACTAAAAATATTCAAAATTGCCTTTCAACCTTACGCACATCGCAATGATTCAGTGATCACAATCCTGGGACATTACTTCGCCTGCTTCTGCGGCTCGACGGAGGCCACATCCACCGTCTCCAGCTTCTCCAGGCAGACGCCCGGTCGCCTGGTGGGCGTGGTGGCCAGGGAACGCGTCTTCAGCCCACTTCCGCCCGTCGCCGGCGGCAGGAGCTGATCGAAACCGCCGGATGCGTCCTTGGTCAGCGAGGCGCTCCTGGAGAAGGGGAAGTAGGCATTCAGCTGACGTTCCAGCACATCCTTGTTGATGCTCGTCTCCCAGATTTGCTTCTGGATGATGCCGCTGTAGCGTGCCTCGAAGCTTTGCTGATGGCGCAGCAGATCCGCGGCTCCAGATCGACCGCCCCTGTGGCGTTCCCGTGCCGGTTCGCGTTCGCGTTCACCGGGTGTGGGCGTGGCCGGCTTGAGGGGACTGCCCAGGGAATCCTCGTCGGTGGACATGCCACTAATGGCCGGAAAATTAAAGTGCGCCGTGGGAAACTTTGCTCGTTAGGCGGCCAACAATGGGGAAAAGTGGAACTCCAATCGCCGGGAGAACCTGTCGCGTCCGCTGCAAAAACGCGAATAAGTCACGGCAGGCGGAATGCCACGTCTATAAGTCCGTTTAGGCCTGTTATACGCTATGTGCAATCCGAAATACACCCAGTATTGTTGCGCATTTTCTTTTGCCGTGAACGAAGCGGGCAAAAGTCAAACGTCAGGCGGCCCAAAGTTTTTGCCTCCAAAAGTAATTGCTCCCCCTTTTGTCTTTTGGCTTTTGGCTTTTGGCTTGCCTTGAAGTCGAAAACTTTTCCCCGTTTTCCGTTGGCCACGGGCTCGGATTCCGTGGCTACCACCCAACCAGACCCATTTCGAGAAAGGTCACAATCGTGCGGCTTTCTCGGTGTCGTTTCGCTGTCATGCCAGACGCAATGACTCATTGAGCCTTGCGCTTATCCCCCACCATCTATGGCTATTGCGATGTATCTCAAAACTGCACAGAAAATAACTCTTATAAGTTGGGCTTAATGCCCTTAAATTTACTCTACCACAAGAGGCACCTTCAACATAATTTCGCTATGCGTGAAACTAACGCGAATTCTTCAGGATTGATCCGTTTCATTCCATAATATTGCTTTGCTGCATGTCCTTTTTACCTATATTTTGGTATCGCTGGTAATATCGAAATCGAATCTAAGCACCGACGCGTCAATCATAAAATAATACGATGACGACGACAACGACAACTTGCCACGTGTGGCAAGTTTAGATTTGGGTGTTCTTGCATGACGCTTGATGGATATCCAAGGAGTCTCCTTCGCAACGGTTGACAGTTGTTATCCCATCAAACTGATGGATATGTAATGTCCATAATTAGTTTACGACCGCTTAGGTTCCGGCTGTCGTAAGACCCATAAAATTAGTTGACAACATCTATAAGAAAATACGTAGAGAGAGCCAAACAATTTTGAACTCTTTACTTGTATAGGTTTTCACCCTTTTTTAATGCAAGTGTATATTTTTAGCAGCTTTTCCTGTACTAAAGGTCATCATATTTCTCCTGAATTATTTCATTTATTAACTTTATTTACCAGTAATGCTTGATTCCCCTTCCAAACTTAAACTCTCTTCCATTCTGCGCAAAATTACCACATTCATTAGGGTAAAACTTTAACTTCAACTTTATGCCATGGTTAAACATGCAATATTGCCACAATTACATTGATTACGCTCCTTTCACGTGGGAATCTCCGCAGGATCACCGCCCCCGCAAGCGTACAAAAAACGCAAAAATCAACAATGAAGTCAGAACCGAAATCAAAACAAAAGAAAGTGGGCGTGGCACATGCCGCCGACTTTTTGGGGGTAATCCAAAAATAAACCCACCAAATTCGATAAAAAGAAACAAACAAAAGAAACTTTCAATGGCAACGGAACCCAAACGAAAATCAATAAAACCAAGAAAAGATTGTGCGATATTAATAAGTAGTCCTCCCAGGCACAAGAAATACCCTCACAAAACTTGGCGCAAGCAGAAATTTATAAGATATTTGAGTGGTTTCAAATAATACATTTTCAAATGCCAAAAATAAATACAGATTCCATTAGCTAAAGTATCTTAGATGTATCTACATTTTTATGAAAATTAAAAAGTTGCGGTTAGAGTATTCGAATTCCGCGAAACTATCTATTCTAGGTTTCTGTAGTCTGGCTATTAATAAACTACATTAATATATTCTCCTGACAAATTTGACGTGTCTTTGGTACAATTATTTTGGGAAAGGAAAACATAAACGACAGAAAAGTCAGTGAAATAAGTGAAAGCATTCTTTAGCTTTCGGCATATGGGTCTCATATTATTTGCAATTGAAAATGAAAAACTTTACAATTTCTTTTTATTCATAGTACATTATTGAAATCAAGAAATTGTTTAAAAAAGTTCTACGAATGAAATTACTTTGTTAGTTAAGAACTGGAAAATAAGTAGTTAGTTTCATCGCTTTAATGAGTAGACTGACTATAACTGGCACAACTCACTGAAGCTGGTGCTCAGGGCATCCTCGCCAGAACCACCACCCATGCCACTGCCCGTCGTGGAACCCGCCGCCAGCAGACCCTTCTTGGGCAGACTGGGCATGAAGATGTGCAGCTGTTTCCTGCTGTCCGAGGCGGCGGATGATCCGACTCCCCGCCCACTGAGTGGAGGCGTACGGCTGTCCTCCGGCAAGGGCGATGCAGTGGCTCCGCTGTACAGGCGCGCCGAGGCCAACTGACCAGCCAATCTTCTCGTGGTGCTGGCACTGCTGCTCAGGGTGCAGAGGTCGATGTTGCGAGCGGGTCTATTGAGGCGCACGGGCACGCCCTCCTTGTTGAAGATAATGGTTATGGGCTTGGCATTGGAGGCGGACAGGGAGGAGCTGGTGACCGGTTGGGCAACGGGTGTTGGTTTGACGACGGGCTTCCTGGCCACCGATCGCTGGTGACTCACTGCCGCCGCCGCCACGCGCTTGAGACTCATGCTGCGTTGGTGACTGCGCTGCATCCTCTGGGCAGATCTGGCCAACTGGGCACTACTGCTGGCCGGCGGAGTGACCACCTTCTCTTTCACAATATCAGTGCGTCCTGCCAAATCCAGCCAGTGGAGCACCCTTTCGGCCAGTCGCTCCTCGGGATTGTTTGCGGTCGTGGAGAGAGTGCTAGTTGCATCCTGCAGCGAACTCCTGCGCGACTGATGCTCCATGTGGTGGTGGTCCATGTTATAGGTGCGCCCGCGACTCAACAGCCAAGCTCGTCGCTTCGACTGGCGGCTCTGGTGGCGCTGCTCTCCCCGCTGACCTCCACCCGTCGAGGGGGCGGGGCCTGGGCGCCCACCCACGGTGGGCAGCGACTGTTGCTGCTGCAGCGTCAGCTTGGTGGCGTCCAGCAGGAGGTACTCGTCCAGGTACTCCACACTGTCCTCCACGGACTGCTCGAGGATCTCGTAGGACTCCGACTGCTGGTAGTTGCCTTGAAAGCAAATCGTCAATGGAAAAATGGATGGCACTTAAAACTCAAAATGTCTAAGCCAGCAAACTTTGCCAAATTCAAATAATAATATATGTATATGTAATATATACAAAAAAGGAGAAATATTGTCCTATCAAATTAAATTTTTTCGATCAATACCAGAAAAATCGGGTACAAAATCGATGTGCAATTATGGGCTTAATTTTGGTAAGGATACCCTTTGGGCGCCACATGATGGAGCACTCACCTCTCAGCCTTGTCTTCTGGCGCTTCCAGCGCTGCCTCTGTCGCGGCTCGTAGTCGAGGATGAAGTGGCGCCTCCCGATCGCCTCCTGCCACACGGAGCGCACAAACAGCGGCCTGCTGGCCGACTCCCAAATGGGTCGCATTTCCACCCGCTCCTCCCGAGGATTCTATGGCTAATTAAATCCTGTGCATATTAAATGGGTAAACAAAAGCCTACTCCAGCGTCCCCAGCTTGGGCGCAGAGTTGTCCTCTTCCTCGTCGCCGGTGGATGACTGGTTGCTTCGCCAGTTGCCGCCTCACTGCCGCTTCTGTTTGGCTTGACGACGACGCCACTGTCGCCCGGCATGTCGAAGTCATGTATCTGGGTGACCTGCGGCCGGAGCCGCAGGGCTGCGGGAAAAGGTTTCAGAACGGTTGGCTAATAAATTTGGGCCAAGGAAGCAAGCTAATACTGCATTGCAAACACTGCTAAAATCCTTTCTTACTGGATGTCTAGTGATCTTTATTTTCTGATTAGTGTCTGAGAGAAAGATACATGTCCTTCAGCTATATAGTAACTGCATAGTAACTTATACCGCGTAGTTTTCTATGATGCCTAAAATCCCTTAACTCCATCACAACTTCCGCAGCCCTGAATCGGCGATGGTGACTGTTTGTTTGCCTAGCTGCCCGAGTCGCCTTCCTTTTGGCATTGCGGTTTAAGTGTCTTCGACACGCGAAATGCAACCGAAGCGACTGGCTGCCCCACTTGCCCCCAAATCGAACTTCCAACCCCTAACACCCCGCGCCACCCATCTCCTGATCCCGACTGCACGTGCTTTTGCCGGAATTATCATTTTTATGTCAAAGACTCGGGAGACATTTTAATGAGTTGTTGGGGCTGCCAGCTTGGAAAATTACTATGCAACATTTCTCCCGTGGCACTAAGTTCGCTGCTTAATCGCCAAGTGGTTAACCCCAATTAGTTAGATGTTGCCGAATTTGCATATATTTCCGGTTGCATGGTACATGGCACAAATGGCATGTTGATGTCGCTTCGTCCACATGGCCGACATATGTGACAGTTGAGTGGGCTTCCAGGTCAGATGAGACTTCCACTTTCGCTGAACTTTGGCACGAGGCACGGGCACAGGCTAATACGAAACTTGAGCCCCAAACCCCAAACCCCATGGAGCATGAATGGCACTCATTAAACAAACCTCCAAGCAGGCAGGCCATACATATATGGTTATGGGCTGTCAGAGCGATAACCACGAGTAACTGGCTGCACAAGCAAACAAATTACCCCAACAATACTTCAAACTCGGCACTCACTCAATTGAAAGAGCCACTCCGAAAGGCCCAACCTCTGACCTCGGCCTAGCACTTTGGCAGGAAATGCAATTACAGTGGCCCGCACAGTGGAGCTCTCGAGTTCTCCGGGTGTTGATAATAAATATAAACAGAGGCGAAGCATGCAATAAACAAATTGAATTTGCCCGCCGAAGACGAAAGTTGCATGTGGCTTTATGCTAGACATCGCCGAGTCCATTAAACGCATCGTTGTAAACGTGGCGTATGCGCAATTTTGCACTCCATCCCCTCAATTTTTGGTTGCAACTCAATTAGAATTGATGGAGGGAGGCGGTGGCAATCTCTGCCAGCGGCAAGGCAATTATAAAACTTTCTGGGGCCTGGAGAACGCAATTACCAACCGGCGGCCTGGTGAAAACTGCGCCCAGGGCACAAGAGCGTTTAGGTTAATTGTGAGCAAATTCTTTTTGTTGCAATCAAATTATAAGGGTCTCCCCCCAATGTTTAGTGCCCATCATACCCGAGTTCCTGTACGACATACGACATCCGGATGCGCCGCTCGACAGCTTTCCACGCACACCGCTAACGTCCAACGTTCCGCCGCCCCCCACGCCGTGTCCATGCAACAAGGATGGCAGCGAGGCGGCTCCGCTCGAGATCTCCACGATTAGTCCGGAGGGTAAGTGTCGCCGTAGCCGCTAATTGGCCAGTCTGCAGCGAAAGTCCTTGAAAATCCGCGACAATCCACAGAGAACGAGACCTACTACCGGGAACTGGAGGAGCGACACAACGAGCTGGTGGGCGAGACCGTCGAGGTGGGACTCCTGTTCGCCTCCAAGGCGTTCGTCCAGCTGCTAGTTAACCCAATTGTTGGACCCCTGACTCACCGGTAAGTCGCATGAACTAATAACATTTACCTTTCACACTTCTCCTGCAAGAGAATGAAACTGATTTAAATCCAGGGACCAAATATATAAGCAATTAGGAATGTTTGATCACATATTTATACCCATGCAGGATTGGCTACAGTATTCCCATGTTCGCTGGCTTCGTGATCATGTTCCTCTCAACGATAAGTAAGCTCCACTGGCTCCACTGCACTAGAAATGGTATTGAACCCATAAACTTTTCCCAGTTTTCGCATTTGGAAGATCTTACCTGGTGCTGTTTGTGGCGAGGGCTCTGCAAGGGATTGGATCATCGTGCTCCTCGGTATCCGGAATGGGCATGCTGGCAGATCGGTTTACGGACGACAAGGAGCGTGGAAACGCCATGGGCATAGCACTGGGAGGATTGGCCTTGGGCGTGCTCATAGGTCCACCATTCGGCGGCGTGATGTACGAGTTTGTGGGCAAGTCGGCTCCATTCCTGATCCTGGCTGCCCTGGCCTTGGGCGATGGCCTGCTGCAGTTGTTCATGCTGCAGCCATCGATCCAGAAGGCCGAAACGGAACCGCCCTCGCTGAAGAGCCTCATCAGTGACCCGTACATCCTGATCGCTGCTGGTGCCATTACGTTCGCCAATATGGGCATCGCCATGCTGGAACCCTCCCTGCCGCTGTGGATGGTGGACAACATGGGCGCCACTCGCTGGGAGCAGGGCGTGGCCTTCCTGCCCGCCTCCATAAGCTACCTGATTGGCACCAATCTCTTCGGACCGCTGGGACACAAAATTGGACGTTGGTTTGCCGCCTGCTTGGGTTTGATTATCATCGGAGGATGCTTGATATTTGTAAGTAATATTCCACTGCAAAATATTGAGTTTGGGAGATTAGGTAGTAAAATCTTTATCGTCAAAGAGGTTTTAAAGATTGCTCAAGAATTCGCGTAATCAGAGCAATACCATTTCGATTTACATATACTCGTATACCTTATCAGATACCCATGGCCACTTCGATCACCCACCTGATTATCCCGAACGCCGGACTGGGCTTCGCCATTGGCATGGTGGACTCCTCGATGATGCCGGAGCTGGGCTATCTGGTGGACATACGACACTCGGCGGTGTACGGCAGCGTTTACGCCCTGGGCGATGTGGCCTTCTGTGTGGGCTTCGCCGTGGGCCCCGCCTTGTCCGGATCGCTGGTGAAGAGCATCGGATTCGAGTGGATGCTGTTCGGGATCGCCATTCTCTGCTTCATGTACGCCCCACTCCTGACGCTGCTCAAGAATCCGCCGACGAGCGACGAGAAGAAGGTACGTATGGCCAGGGAGGCGGCTGAAGCTGCTGCAGCCGCTGCTGCCGCTTCAGGGGAATCCTCGGGAATCCCCCAGATGACCGCATCCTGCCCGGCCATCATGCATGGTACTTCTGTTCCCGATTCGGATGCCGAGGCGGGCAGGACGAATGCGGCCTACGAGAGCGAGCGTCTTTGAGTGTCCTTGCATTGCTTAATTTTAATTTATTATTATTTTTCGTATCTTTAGTCATTCTCATTGTTTTTAGTGCTAAGTTCTGCTTAATTTGTTTGTAATAAAACTATTAATTTTTATTTAAAGCGCTGCCTGAGTTTCATTTTGCACGATATATAGTAAAACCTGTCTAGGAAATGCATTAAACTAACCCATACCCTTTCCTATTTCATTTCTGTGCTTCCAGTCTTTGATCTATGGACGCGATCGGGCTCAGGTGCGTTATGTAACCTATCAAAACTACGATGAAGACGAATAAGCTAACGATTTAACTGCAATGCAATGTTGCCAAAAGTGCAACCAAAAATCTAAAAAAAAAAAGCGGGTAATAAAATCAAGAAAAAAATCGAAGATCAGAAAGTAAACGTAACCACAACCAACAATATCAGTAATATCATATGAAATTCCAATCCAATCGTTATTCTTGTTCAATGTTTTACCCATGTTGCACTATAGTGTTTATATACATACGCCATTGATCATATCAAGAAGTAACCTCCCCCAAAAACTTTGCACATGTTAAAGTCGAGCACACAAATTTGTGAAGAATGAGAAAGTTGAGTGAAAACAGGGCTCCAGGATGAGCCAGAAGTTCGATGTGACGGGTAGGAAAGTAAGCAGAAATTGAGGATCCTAGGAACCCTACTACATATTGGAGGCAATTTAGTGGCCAAAGGTTTGGAAACTATCTTATTTTTTTTGGAAGTACAGTATAGCATGCGGATAAAGCAGATGTGACTGTACGATTGAGCTTAATGAGCTTGTGAGAGTCCTTCCTTGGAAGACTCTACTCCCAGCAGGGAAGGTTTAATTGCCGATCCAACAAGCACACGCCCGCAATTGCACTGATTTAATGGAGGATTCGCCAGGAGCGAGAGTAATATAGAAGATACCGTGATTTACTTAGTTTGGAATATCATTTTCGGATTTAGTTAAGTTAAGAACACATAAAGTCAAATAACAGCGATGATACAACTAATTTTGGAGTTATTCTAATACAGAGAAGTTGGGGGAATATATGTGCGGCTTCTGGGACAGCTTAACTCTATATTCTGGAGATGATCTGTCCCAAAATCACGCATATAATCGCCCATGTTCCCTATATTATTACAAACGCATCAAACGCAGTTTATCCGCATACACGCTGATGTTAACCTGACAGGAATCTTGGCTTTCCTGACTGCTGCTCCTCTCCCGTGGCGCTGGTGAAGATCCCCTCATCCTCACATGGTTCAGACTGAAGGCTAGATCCGTGTCCCTGGATCGAGAAGTGGTTATCCTAATGGGCATATTATTCAGACAGGTGACGCAGGTTTGATTTCCATTCAGCTGTTTTTGCTCACTAACCCGGGCATGGGATGAACGCCTCATGCTGCAGTTGCTCCGTCTCCCGGTCGTGGTCACTGTGACATGGACATTGCCATTTGAAGTTCCCGAACTACTGCGATCTAGATTTCTTGGGACAGTAGGAGTGGCGCTACCCTGGGGATTGGGAATGGGGGTAGAACTACGACTGGAGCAGCGGTTTGCCATACGATTCACAGAGGATGAACGGGAGGTAGGAGTGCATGGAGCTGTCGGTGAAGGGGAGCTGCTATTCTGGATAAGGATCGGTGGGGGAGTAAGTGAACGGGTAGCGGAAGAGACACTTCTAGCATCCTGATTAACTCTAGTCTTCCGTCTGTCTTTCGGTCTGGACGGATTCTCCGTTGCAGTCTCCAATCTCCGAGTCCTACGTGACGTTAAGTCACAAAAGGCCATTCCGGGCAAACGATCATCAGAGGTCGTAGTGTACAAGTGCGAGGTCATTGGAACCGGCGGTCGGGGATTTATTGGCTCTTGACGCAGTAGCTCCAGTTGCTCCCGACGCGATTGCTCCTGGAGGGCACACAGCTGCTCGTATTCCCTGTGCCGCTGGCTTTCCCGCTCCAGTTCCCGCAAGCGTTGCCTCTCGCGCTCCACTTCCAATTCTATGAGTCGCTCCTCATCCCGCAGGCGCTCCAACTGGCGGAACTGCTCACGATCACGCTCCCGCTGGCGGGCACGCTCCCGCTCCTCCTGAAGCTCCCTCTCCTGCTCCAAGCGTCGATCCTCCAACAGCTGTCGATCCCGCTCCCGTTCTCGTTGTCGCTCCACTTCCCGTGCCTTTTCCCTCTGCCGGAGCTCCCATTCCGGACTCGTCCGCGGTTTCGTCTCGCTCACATTGAACTTGGACAGTCGCTTGTCGATGCCAAAGGTGCCGCTGGATCTGGGAGTACAGCGCTCCGACTGCGACTTGGTCCTCACCTTATCCGTATTGTTCAGCAGATAGGCATCCGTTGCGATTTTGATGCTCACATTGTTGTCCATCTCCGATTGGGAATCCGCACTGCATATGTTGATGCTGATCCCGCAGCCGCTTCTTCGGTTCTGCAGAAGGGTGTTGGAGTTCCTGGAGAAGGTGGTGGTGGAAGTGGGAAGGGCAACGCCACCCGCTGATCGCAGGAGATTATTGCTACTCTGACACAAAGTCGTAATGCTCGGACCACGTCTCATAGCCTGGTACCGCCCACTTTGACAGCAGGTCCTGAGGAGCGGGGAATCCGTGGCAGTGGGTAAACGCCTCGTCTGCGGAGCCACCGGTACACTCTGCCTGTCCGGCGTTCCCAGCGGAGTTCCCAAGGGCATATCCATTGATTCCTGCAGGAGGCGACGTCTATAGGTGGCAGTGAGTGGACTCCTTTTCGCCGGAATGTACTCGGGATCCTGGCTGAATCTAGGATTATGGTAGAAGGTCTGGAAGGAGGCCTTCTTCACCAGTGCCGGCCGAGTTGGTGGCTGAGATCTTTGATAGTTCTGGACCGGATAAAATGGCTTGTCGGCATAGCGAAAGTTGTACGAGTGAATTTTGAAGGGGTCTCCATTGAAGACATCACTCGCCTGGCGACGCGAAGGATCTGGAACAAAAGAAGGCCCTGGGAATTAGTTTTGACAGTGCTTGGAACCTGGAACAGCAACTCACACGAAATACGATTCATTTGGAGCTGATAATTTTGGCTTTTCCAAGGTATGCGAGTTCGAAAATAGCGTGCCAATCATATAAATGTTTTTTTTTGTTTTTAGAATATATTCAAATGAGTTCAGATAGATAATTTTTCACAGGTCTAGAACCGAAAACCCAGGCAACTTTGGTTTTCGGTTCTGTCCATATAATTCTCGCTCCAGCAAACCATTAAAACTTTTTGGCAATACGGCGTAGAAATTGGACGGGATTAATGGGCACTACTCCACAGCGGAGACCCACCTTCCTTAAGTAATTCAATTTCATATTACAAGTTGTTAAAGTTAAATAAAGTATCTATATAATCATTAAATCTTGTAATATTGTTGCCCACATAGCACACACACAAGTTATCTGACAAAAAAGGGAATATTTGATAGGATTTTGGTACCTAATGGTACGTGGAATATGAACACCATTCTATAGAAACTCAAAACATGTAAAGGGTCTATAAGCGTTCACAATTTTGAATATAAGTCCTAGGTTGTATTTTATGTTTCAATTATCTAGTGAGAAACAAAGTCGCTAAATTGGGTGTTCACAAAATTTAGACATAGGACAAACCACTGATTACCAACTATTCAACTATTCCCACCCAAAGTTTTAGACCTTAACCCATAAGTATTACCGACTTTGTTCCCCCACTTGACCAGATCGTATTGGATCGTAAGGATATTGCCGCAAGGCACTTGAATGGCTGCAAGTGTCTCTAAGCGTTGTGATCACCATGTAAAATCCTCATTAAACGTGATAGTCCTGTTTATTGGGCCATAAAAGTCAATATTTTGGACGCATATAACCCAACAACTCTAATAGAAAGTATTGTAAAAAAAAGATAGCTCTGTAGTGGTCGAAAAAGGTTCAAGAAAGCCGACAAAATGTAGTTAATCGCAGGTATACAATGAGGTTATATTGACAAACTGTATATACGAATAGCTGAAATACTTGCTGATTATCATCGTTGTTCTATTGTTGTGAAAGATGAATTACTCAAATACTCGTAATACCCTAGATCCATTCAAAGCACACCAGAAATTCTATGCTGTGTCCGTTACGACTTTTCACGCTTTGAAGAATTGCCGAATTCAATCATGCAACACGCGTTTTACAACTAAGGAACTCTTCAATGATTGCATATTACAACAACCTTAGAAAAATACATTGTACAGGGTATGCAACTCCAAAGTACTTATACGATATTTAGCAAATGTTTTTTGTTCGGTTTTCATAAAGTTGTTGTGTAAGTTTATGCTTTAGCCCCCCTTCTGGGGGCCCAGCATCCAATATAAACGTGTGAATTAGACAATATAGCTTCTAACTGAATAGTTCAGCATACTCAACACATACATATATTATGCGTAATCAAGTCGTTATTGTTGCCTAACAATGTTCAAATGTTGCATAAGTGTTACGTAACTAACAATCCAAAAAAAGCTGGTATGGGGTCAAACAAACAACAATGCTAATGCAACTAACCAAAGCGTTTTGTGCACAGTATTCAAATATTCAAATCTATCCTTAAATCGATATACTCAACGTTTACTGTATGTATTTGCTAGATAAGATATAACCGCACACACATACTCTCTCTAAAAAGTTCGTATTCGGATGACCGCAAATTAAACCTATAAACCCCTATAGTTTAGCGCGAGCATATTAGTCAAAACAGTGTATCAAATATGTATAACAGGGCATATATATTAGCAGATATTAGCATAACACGAGCTACTAACTACGTATATGCACTAAGTCCTTTAACGATTATCACATTTTTACTCAAACCTTGAAACTACATACATATGTACTCATGTCATGCCATGCCATGTTTATAGGGTGAGAACCGGGAGAAACCAGAACACAAACATACATATATGCTATTTATAAAGACCAATGGTGACCAAGTAGAATATATAACTATACTTAATAAAACTATATACGAAACTAAATACCTACTATGAATACAATCAACTATTACCTATACTGTAGTCATTCGACATATGTTTAATTCATAGAGATATTGCTACTAAGCTGATACCGATATTGAAAAACCAATCTAAATTGCGTTGAGTTTAATATACTCGCTCATCAATAAATTTGAAACAATGCAAATGCATGTGCAAAATACAAATATGTAACTGAAGTTGTTGGTGAATAAACAAGCTACAAAACAGTACTACGTCTTTTCATTTGTGTTGAATTGCCATTAAACTTTATTTAGTCTCTAAATTATTTACATCCAATTCAAGGAAAAGTTTATAACACAATTACAAAATGGTCTTAAATCTGAAATTTGCTATGTATGGTATATACATTTTGTGTTTTAAACTATTTTAATAGGGTACACGTTACTTTAAGGTCAACTTTTAGAAAGCGAAAATTAGAATATGGTTGAGAATAGGTCAAGAACTCTTTGAACTTATAAACTAATTCATAAATCATGTGTAACTAAATTTGCAGCTCTAAGAAGTTGCCTTGGACTCATCTAGCTGAGAGGTGTCGTGCTTCTCCTTGGCAAAAGTGATGATCTGGTTCAGGCTTTCGCCCAGCTCCTCCATCACTTCGCGCTCCGTGTCCTCAACGGGCATATTCTGTTTCTCGTGCATTACAATCCGCGATATCATGCACATGATCGTCGCTTCGATGACATCGTCCGTAAAATACATATTTGCGCGATTCTCGTTCGATTGCTTATTGCTAGCTTTGTCCTTTTGCAGACTCTTTGCTCCCATCAGTCCGTCCAAAGAGTCCATGTCCACGTCTGGACGGTCTTCCATGTTTCGACAACCTGAAAAATGAGGTGATTCAGTTAGTTGATCATACAGAACATCCGTTTTAAAAGTCTACTTACCAACGCATTTACATATGCTGGTGCAGGGAATCTTTGCCTCATAGCACTCACAATAGTTCTTGAGACAGCCTGATCTCTTACAGTTGCAGCCTTTGTTATGCAGACGCATGTCACCTGAATTGGGTGCTGTAATTTTGGGTCTGTTAAGGAAAAGGGAGTAGTTATGTGATTAACATCTTTTAAAACATAAAACATCGTGCAAATAAACTTACTGAAATGCGCTGGGGTTGCGATCAAGGCAACTGCGAATAGCCCGCTCCCGCTCCACCTCGTAGTCCATATTGTTGAAGCAATCCTTGCAGGTACAATCCTGGCAAAACTCGCCGTTTGCGAAGCAATCGCAGTAAAGCTTTAGGCACTGCGACTTGCTGCAATTGCAGTGCTTTCGCCGCGATGTCATTCCGCCCAACGCATCGACGGTTGCGGCTGCCCCGGTTGCTGGTTGTTTAAGGATGTCGAAAAGCGGCTTGGTGGGAACGGGGTTGAAGCCCGGAGGTTGTGTCGGCAGCTTTGGCTCGACTTTAGTCGGCGCCGATTGCTCGGTAGGCAGCTGCTGCTGCCTAATCCTTTGTTTGGCTTGCGCTTGTAGTTGCTGGTGTTTTGACTGCTGCTGTGTATTCATTTGCTTGAAGCGATGCTGTTGCGAGGAAATGGATACCATACGTCGCGACTTGCTGTCCACATATCCAGTGTATCCCCGTCGCATGGCACTCGTCGATGATTGGGGCACACCCGAGTTACAGATCATGTACTTGACCCCATTGGTTCCCGTCGATTGAACATAGTTGTAGATTTTCTTTGGGGCGTTTGGACTTGTACCGCTAGCCGCTACACGCTGCGCGTTTGCTGTTCGGTTAATTAGTTTCTGAACTGGCTGGGTAGCCTTTTGTGATCCTTTCTGCATAGTAATGACGTAACGCGGCTTTTTGGCCTCTGGACCCGCATCGCTGCTGTCACTGGCATCACTGCTGGCCGAGGCCAATTGCTTTAGCTCCACATTCAGATCAGTAAGCCGGTGCTTGCGTGGCGACTCCTGGCTGCCACTCAGAGTGGCGCTGCTGCTCGTCGCACTGGCTGGTTTTGAGGCGTTGGTGCTGGCGCCCAGCGCACGCTGTAAAGATGAAAATGGAGTTAGAATGAAATAAATATACATCAACACACAATTACCAACCTTTGAGACCAACGTCTGCATTGAAGGCAGCGGCACAATGCTGCCGCCCATTGTCCGCATTACAATCTTGTTGGTGCTGCCCATGGCAACGTTTGCCTTCGATGCGGCTACAGCTGGAGCTGCTGCTGCAGATGTTATAGTAGATGTGGCAGGGACGCCTTTAGCAGCCGGAGATCGCACCACAGTGATCTTCTGAGTTTGCATTGTTTTCGGCATAGACGCTGTTGCACTTGTTGAGCCGGCACTCTTATTGTTGGTCAGGACACGTACATACTGTACACCTGCCTTGCCAGGAAGCTGAATAGCGTGCAATCCACTCGAGGTAGGTGTCTGTCCGCTTGTCGTGTGGGTGGTCGAACTGGTAGCCCCCGCATTTGGTGACAGTTTAATGATGTTCTTATTCGAAACAAGGATCTGTTTGCTGGCACTTTGCACCAACATCTTGCCCGGTGTTGCTGATGCACTGGCAACCGAGCCCGATGCGTGCTTTACAGGAGTTTCTGTTCTCACCACTACTTGGCCAACGGGCTTGCTGAGCACCACATTTCCCGTGGAGGGAGATAGTTTTACAGAAGTGGCGGCAGAGCCTCCTGGTGTGACTGTAGTTCCAGTTCCCTGTTTGGCATTCAGCAGTAGCGAGGAACCAGCCTGATTGAACTTTATGATTTTACCATCGGCAGTGCGGAATACCTGTAATTTAGTGGGCTGTGCCAGAGATACGGATGTGGTTGCCGGCGTGCTGGATAACGGCGACTTCACACTGCTCCCGGCCAGCGGTTGGATGCCCTTTAAGGTGATGGCTGTGGCGGGAACCGGGGTGCTTGCCTTGGCAGGAACCGCCGCCTTGACCAGACCCGTGCTCGCCAAAGTCACGCCCTTAGAAAGCACTGCCTTCTGGATACCAGAAGGCGCCACGAGGCGTCGTACTCCTCCGCTTGGTGACCCCGCCACCGCAGTGCTGCTTTGCGTTCCAGGGACAGACTTCTGGACATAGATAACTTGGCCATCTTTCGTCTTAATCTGTGTGAAGTTGCTCAGGGTCTTTGTTATGGTGCCCGGTGTGGATTTGTTGGCTATGGTTGTGCTGCCGATCTTAAGGGTATTACTGGGCATTGGTTTAAATTTGTTCAGTATCTTTACGTCCGTAACTTGTGCATTGGCCGGAGGTGTGCCTCCGGTAGTCACCATCTTTATGGCGTGCGACTTTAAAACGGTTACTCCGGACGGGTTTAACCTTTTGTCCTCCAGTATGTTGACCACGTTCTTCTTGAACTGCGGCGTATTCAGGGAATCGTTCGCCGGATCGGCGAGTTCATCACCACCGCCATCGTCTTCCTCTGAGTCCAGGACATCCATGTGCTGGGAACTCTTCTCCGACGTTGGCTCCAAAAAGTCTTCAAAACTCAGCTCCGGCAATGGTCCTGTGTCGTCTAGGGAATCTGTGGACAAAATTAGTTATTAATTACTTTGCAACAAACTGGTATGGTGCTTTAATCTACCAGACAAGTAGTCTACGCTGTAGGTAGTCATTTTTGTCAATTTTCAAATCAATTTCAAAATGTTCTTTATCATCAGCTGCGCTCAAGGCGGTTGCAACAGTGTTGTGAAATGTCGTAGGCAGGTTATTATCGGGCTTGTTTGATTTTATCGGATTTATTTCGATATCGAATGTGTCTACTGCCGAATGATAAGCAATCGATGTCTGCCGCCTAAGTTTAACATTTATATTTTCTGCTTACTTTAGACAATAATTACTTGTTAATTCAACGAACAGTCCGTTAAAATGCCAGCTAACAACAGTGAAAAATTAAAAGTGGAAAATTCTAAATCCAATATAAGATATCTACTAAAACTTGGTTGTCCGTAGGTGTTTGTTTATATTTTACTCGACTGTGATTGGAGCGCCAACAACTTATACAATATGCATAAAAATCGCTTAAGAATATTTTATTTAATGACTGACGGCGTTCCGGTGATCTACTTCTTAGCCGCCACCTTCTTCTCGCGCGCCTTCTTGCCCTCCGTCAGCTCGGATCTCTGTGATTCAGTCAGAGGAGGCATAGTGCTGGTGACGACACCGGTGCCCAGGGTCAGGTTTCCGTCACGCAGCGTGAAGCGCTGTCCCTGCTCCAAGACCATTGGCCGGATGAGGCGCAGAACGAGCTTGGTATCCTCGCCGGGCATTACCATTTCCTTGTCGGGAATCTGCACTTGCACGGCGCAATCCCAGGTGCGGGAGAACATCTGCAGTTGGATGAAGGACATGAAGGGCTTTGTGCGGCCGCCTTCTTCCTTGGACAAGATGTACACCTGGGCTTCCAGCTGATCGAGAGCCTTCACGCTGCCCGGTTTGCACATGACCATGCCGCGCTTGATGTCATCTCGCTTTACGCCGCGCACTAGAGCTCCCAGCTGGTCACCGGCTTGCGCCTCCTCCAGAATCTGATGGAACATCTCCACGCCCGTCACCGTCGACTTGAGCACCTTGTTATAGCCCACGAACTCGCACTCCATGCCCTTCTTGACCACTCCGCGCTCCAGGCGGCCAGTGACGACGGTTCCGCGTCCGGGAATCGAGTACACATTCTCAACAGGCAGCAGGAAAGGTTTGTCCAGCTCGCGGACAGGCGTGGGAATGAAGCTATCCACTTCCTGAAGCAGTTTCAGGATCGCCTCCTTGCCAATCTCGGGACTCTTGTCCTCGAGGGCGCACAGCGCCGAACCCTTCACCACAGGAATCTTGTCACCATCATAGCCCATCTCGGTGAGCAGCTCCCGGATCTCCATCTCTACCAGGTCGACCATCTCCTCATCGGCAGCGTCCACCTTGTTGATGAACACCACAATGTGATCAATGCCGATCTGCTTGGCGAGCAGCATGTGCTCACGGGTCTGGGGCATGGCGCCATCAGTGGCGGCCACAACGAGAATGGCGCCATCCATCTGGGCCGTGCCCGTGATCATGTTTTTGATATAATCCGCATGTCCTGGACAATCGGTGTGGCCATAGTGGCGCGTTTCCGTTTGGTACTCCACGTGGGCTACATTGATGGTGATGCCACGAGCCTTCTCCTCGGGCGCATTGTCGATTTCATTGTACTTCTTGCTCTCGGCCAGCTGCTTGTCGGCCAGAACCTTGGTGATGGCAGCCGTGAGTGTGGTCTTGCCGTGATCCACATGACCGATGGTGCCCACATTGCAATGGGGCTTGGTGCGCTCAAATACCTTCTTCTCGTTGGCGTACTGGCGCAGGTACTGCTGCTTGTTGCCGGTCCTGGGCGCAGCGAGTAGTCCGCTTCTCTGCCAGTCCTTGCAGGCAGTGGAGGAGGCTGTGGCACCCGCCATACGCAGCAATCTGGCGGAGCTCATGGCGCGCCGGCTGCAGCGCAGGGCCAATGACATGGATGCGGTGGACCGGCAGACGGCGGCGGCAAATGCATGTGACATGGTTCTGGGCTTCCTATAGGCGCTTCTAACTGAAAACGTGAATTAGGTTCTGCGCTATGTGGCGGATGGTTCCAGCTGCACTTACGAGAGTAGATTTAGCAGTCCTGGCAGGGGGTAAAATGCCTTTTCACAGGTCGAAGAAAATCGAACGGATAGAAATTGCGTAAACCCTGAAATGTGCTGTGCGCCAGAGCTGCCACCTCGTGGAGGTTGTTCGATAGGCCACCCACATATCGATAGGTTACATTATTTTAAAACCAAACCAGTTTATAAGTATAAAATAATTATAAGGTATTAACGTAAATTAAGAAATAGTAACTACTTTAAATATTTACCTAGAAGTAAAATAATATTTTTGTTAACTGATACTTTTGCATAAGAACTTTAAAAGGGGTGGCAGCCCCATGTTGACGTTATTATTTTGTGCGCGTTTTTCTTCCACCCATTAAACACTCATCTCGACAACCCGTCCAACCTAATAAGATCCACCAAAGTCTAAAATTACTTGCTAATTTAATTAAAGTGCTTGCCAATGCTCAAATTGTACGTTTGCATACTTTTAACAGTGTAAAAACATTTGCCCCCAAGACTGTACCCCACTAAAAACACCAACACAAGCAAGCACAAGTCTATATGTGTAACATGCTGTCTGGCAACGCAGCGCCATGGGATGTTCCCAGATCGTTAAAAGCACTTTTTCGTTTCGTCAGCACAGTGCAAAAACTTACGAAAAATCTAAATTCAGACCCATTGTCAGATATATGCAAATCGAAATGCAATATGTGCACAATAGTCCGCTTGTCGGTCGCGGGGCAGTGGGGTAACTAAGCGAAGGGGAAGCCGCAAATCGATGGGCACAATTTGCGCGCCAGCGAGCGGCCCAACTGCCATGGCGAGTACACGCTGTACCAGAGGTTGAAAATTCAATTTGAAATACGAAATGACCAGATCCTCACCCATATTTCCGCCACTGGTGTCCATGCTTGGTGATTATTGTGTATCCTGGCCGTTTGGGGTCGGGAATTGTGTGTTGGATCCTGTTTTGAATGCAGTGCGCGGTGACTGCGGGCAAAACAAAAAGAAAATCTGCACACTGGGAAATGTGAATGCGTTGAACTCAAAGGGCGTCGCGGGCGAACGAAACGGCCGAGAGGTGGTTAGTCACTGCGGTGAGATGCGCGTCGCGATATCACTGCTATTTGCACTTTCATTTGGCGGCCTTATCAGCGCGTATTTACAATCGAATGCAACAGCAAATTCAAAATTCAATTTAAATTGCCATCGAGTGGACTTCCATTACATTTATGAATCAGAGTGGGACCGTAGCGCGACCGTTAAATTATACCGCCATACACACTCATATATACTGAAATTTGCTTAAGAAATACTCGAAATTACCACAAAAACATACCACAATAATACAGAGCCTTGAAGGTTCATGACTTGGATAAACTGTTAGCAAATACTTCTACCACAATTACTTTTTTAGAATTTATTTGGAAAAATTCAAAAATGCAATAGAAATCTTACTGAAGATTATCATTTTTTGAAACATGAAAATTTAGATATTTATGCAGCCAAAAACGTTGGGGGCTTTTTCAAAGCTATTATAATGCTTTAAATAAACTATAAGAACTTCTTAATCTACAATCGGTCAATTCATTATTTTTTTTTAAAGAAAAACATTTTAAATTTATTTATTTTTCTCTTGTTTATTGCTTCAACTACGTTTACGATATAATCAAGTTAATTTAGATAAATAAAAATAAAATAAGATTCCATTCTCATAAAACATAAGCGATGAATATTTAAAACGCCAAAAGTAAACTTTAACATCTTAAAAAATTAACATCTAATGGCATCCGCATTCGAAATAATAAGCTAAGAAGGTAAAAGTATAAACAATTCTACATCAGATTACGACTCTCCACGGACAACACTACATAAACTCGGAGGACGGACGAAGATTCACCCGCCGGTTGCGCAGCGTGTATGTGCGAGGAGTTCCCCCGTTCTCCTGACCCTCGCCGGGATTCTGCTCCAGGGATCTACGTTCCGTGGAGGCCTCCAGAACCATGTCCTCCTCGCAGTCCTCCAGATGGTCGGCGCCGACCGTCTCGTCGTCGCTAATGTTGCCCTCCTCGTAGGTGAACTGAAATCGCCGTACGCTCTTCTTGGCACTGAAGAGCACACCACGGTTCTGGCGTTTCGTGGTGCCGGGCGTCTTAAGGATGGAGGCTCGCGGCTTGGGCGGCGGCGTCTTGGCAGCGTTCTGCTCTGCGGCCGCAAGGATCGCTGATTTCAGGAGCGCATTTGGCGCAATCGACTGCCGCCCCTCGCCGGTGGACATGCGGAGTACTGTGCGGGCAGGTGAAAAGGATCTGCGATTGCGAACTACGATCACCCGTGGCGAACTGTGTCGCGAGGACGTGGAAGGCAAGCCATCCTCCAACGCCGGCTTTTCCACCTTGGTCTTTTTCATGTTGGCATGGGCGTTGCGGAGGAATTGCTGAAGATTGCTGGTGGGCTTGGCCTTCGATTTGATCTTCATGTTGCGACTTGTCTTGGGCTTCGGCTTCGGAGGCTTGGGTTCCTCGGCAACTGCATCCGGATCTAGCCAGTCGTTGGCCTTCCATCGCTTCAGGTTATCGAAGCGCTTGTCCACGTTTTCGCTCTGCAGGCGCAACATATCCCACCAACCCTCCAGATCCTCAGCCTGCACCGGTTTTGAATCCTCACTACCATCGTTTGGCTGGCGATTCTTGCCGGTCGCGCCAGCCTCGCAACGATCGATCAGGCTGCTGAACTGCATCATCTTCTTGGTGGTTAACAGACGTGTCTGGCCGATGGTCACGTTGATCATGTCAATGCCGCCCGTTTCCTGCAACCGTGACTCATTTTCCTTGCTGTACGCCTCCCATTCAGCGCAAAGGGCTTGGAGACGGGTGACCTCATTTTCCAGCTGCAGTCTGAAATACAGAACAGATTCGATCGCACGGCGAACTTCCAAGCTCGATTCCTCATTGGCCAGGTAGAAGCTATTCCGTTTCTCCTTCTCACAGCGCGAGTTCACCTTACCCCGCGAGACACTAACAAACGGACTGAGATAATTGGGCATTCCATTGGATTTGCGACGTGGCGGTGTCTTCTCCTCCTCTGGCACCAAAGTGGAATTTCCCGTGGCTTCTATAACTGAAAAGAGAATGTGAGTTTGAGATTGGAAATAGAATATAGCCTGAACTCACTTGTCGTCTGCTGAGGATCCAAGATAAGCGAGTCCTCCGCTGGCGAATTTGCCACAGAGTAACGCGTAAAGTCGAACTTTTTCTTTGCCACCGGAACAGACGCCAACTTCTTATCCGCCGGCAGCAACTGCCTTTTGACCGAACTTTTTCCTTCAGCTTTGCCCGCTGCCACCGGGCTCAATAAGATGCTGTCGCCAAAAGTCTCCACAAGATGACAGCTGCTATTGCTGGATTTGCACTGCGTTGATGTGGCCTGGTCTATAAACGGATTATGGATATCCTCTAGCGGCGTGTGAGGCGGTATACCTAGTGTGGCTGCCTGCAGCAACTCGGCTTTGAGCTGCGGGAGCTTTCGTACCTTTTCCTGAAGCCTCGTGTACTGGCTGTTTGGCTTAATGGCCTTCATCCGCATGGAGTGACCAGCTGCCTTGCTGGTCGCTCCAGCTGAGTCCTTGAATTTGGCCGCGGCACCACCTCCGCCACGAATGGGCTGTGGTTTCACCACATTCGCGCGACGTGCCACTGGTGCCATGTTTGCCAAAGGTTTCTCGAACGGCTGGGACAACACATTGGGCAGTCTAGCGGTCCGTGGTGCCACTGGCGCAGGTAATCTGGGCTTTGGTGCCTGTTGCCGGACGCTGGTCGCTATCGCTTTTTTGACTGTCTTTGGGGCGGGTCTGGGTATGGTAGTAGTCTTTTTCGGTTCAATCGCCGGTTGCCTAGGCCTCTGACTGGTAGTCTGCGTCGTTGTGTTGGAAAGAGGCCGCGCAGCAGCTTTTTGCCTCGCCAAAGCCACCGGATTGTTGACCTGCCGACTTGGAGGGACTATTTTTGTTGCAGAAGCAGCTGATTTTTGCCTGGCAAAAGCCACGGATTTGGATGCCGTTGCCTTGGGTATTGAAGGTCTCACCGGTTCGGTTGCTGTTCCCTTGCTAGTGGGATTGGCAATCACGTAGAGAGAACACCTCTTGGAAGGCTGGAACACGGGAGCAGCCTCTTCCTTCTGCTTTGCAGAAGCCAGGGTTTCGGCAAACCGAAAGGTTTGGGATTTTGGTAAGACCTTTGATTGATTTATGGTCGGGGCATTGATGGCTGCCCCTCGACGCTTCTGGTCTTGCTGCTCATGCTCTTTGCTCTTGACTGTCTTCCACTCCATGTAGCGTTGTAAATAGAGTTTCTGGCGGGAGGCCTTGGGCTTGGATTCTTTCGGCTGTTCCGCGGTCTTGTTTCCCAGCTGCAGCTGCTCCTTATTCTCCAATTTGGGGGCCACATTTTCCTGGTGCAGAGCGGCTGGGGCAGCCACCAAGGGCTTCGCTTTGACGGGCGTGGGGCTCACACTGATGATGCGGTTCTGGTAAAAACAATCCTCCCGTTTTTTGGCGCGCGCCGCCTGCAACCGATCTCTGTTCTCCTGGCAGTGATTGCGCGGACTTAGCACCAGCGATTGCTCTTTGTACAGTTCCTTGTGGCGCTGCATGGCGACTGTTGTGAAGGATGGGGCGAGTCAAACTGATGTGTCCGGTTGGAATTGAATCGTAATGCTTAGTTTTCCGGCAAAGCGTCTCCTATTTTGATTTTTAAAATGGCGATGCGTCCTGGGGTGTGACCAGGTGAAGGAAAACTAAAATCGCCCTGCGATATGCCTGTCCCATAGTGTTGTGTCCAGCATATTTTCTTGGTATATTAAAGCGACCCATCCACGGTCACGCTGCTATGAAAATAAAAGTGAATTACAAATTTAGCAGTAGTAATATGTTAACCGAACCGCTCCCGCGCTTAATTAGAGTCGTTTAAGCTTGCAGTCACCGTAGTCCTATAAAATTGTAAGCCCGGCGGCCTGTTTGCAAACGCCAGAAACTCGAAAATAATTCGCCGAAACTTGTGCATATAGAAATTATAAGCGCCGCGTGTGCGAGTGTGTGTGTGCGTATGTGTGTTTATTGGGGTTACAAAAAATAAAACAAACAACAACGTCACCGCGGCAGCATTGCCAACAGCAAGCACCCACGCCCTAGATTGTCAAACCTTAATTGTGTTCTAAGCAACACATTGCACATTATTTTAGGCAAATTACATTACAGAACAACAAGTAATAGCCAAACATCGTCTAATTGCTTTTGCGGTACCTGCTTTTCCCCGAAATTCCAAATTGCAAGCTGCTGGCAACGTTGGCACGCTCACGCACACACGCGCGCACACACACACCCACACAGTGAGCAGCAAGCGGCGGTGGAGAGAGCGGCTCGTGTCTGTGTTCATTCTCTGTTGCTGCTCCGCCTGGGAATGTCGTCGTCGTCGGTGTATTTTTAATCACTTTCTTCCCTTGCCTTGGCCCAAGATACATATATTATTATTAACCGAACCGAACGGAGAAAAGCGCGCTGTCCGAATATCCATGATTTATCGTTTATATAATGTGCGCTAACTAATCGCGGATTCGTTTCGTTTTCATTTCCACAGCACTGAGTAGTGAGTGAGACAAATTCAGAGAGAGAGTGAGAGAAAGAGCAGAGCGCGTGTGTGTCTGTGCCTCTGTGCGTGTGTGTATGTGTGTGTGTGTGTGGTGCATCAAGGCTGATAAAACTAAATCCAAAACTACAATTGCATCTAAATTTGAAACAAACTCCGAAAGCGTTTTCTAACTGCGCACAAATCTACACAACAAAATGGAAGCGGTTGCCAAACACGATTTCTCGGCGACGGCCGATGACGAGCTGAGTTTTCGCAAAACTCAGATCCTGAAGGTGAGTGCTGTTCCAAAATCGTAATATTTGCATTTATTCATAGGCTTCGCGTTGAAAGGTGGGCGGGGAAGGGCGGGGGTCGTGGCAGGTCCTGCATGCATAATCTCCACTGCGATGCAGCTGGCGTCCAGGTCGTTGCCTTAACCCACATCCTAGGTTCAATCGCCAGACAGATTTTGTTACTAAATCGCGACCAAACAGACAGCAGTCGCAAAAGCTAGCTAAAGAGGTTCAAAAGGTGCACTCGCAAAAGGCGGCACGAAAGGATTACGACTCATGACCCACCGCAGCTCTTATACTCTTACTACAACCAAGAGACCCAGTCAAATATACCACGTTATAAGGATTTTTATACTATCCACACATCCAGTATAAACTCTTTGTAAAGCCACACTTTTTAAAATATCAATCAATTTTAATTTCTCAAATGCAAATCAAGTCTAAAGACCACATCTTTGAGCCCATATAATGAGCATAACGCTCTGAATAGCATTACAAAGTGAGTCGGAATGAGAATGATGTATAGATGGGTTTCTAAATCTATAATAAATAAATCAATGTACTTGTTGATGATAACTTTGAACCATACTACACTTTTCAAATATAGCATTTTTCACTTCTTTTTTTTCCCATGTTTTCAATATTCTTTGAACTCAAATTAACTGACTTCCTGCTCGATTTGTTGTAGTACGATAGAAATAGCTGGTATACTATTACAACTTTTATATTAGTTTTTTCTCACTGCTTGGAAGAACAGTCCCAGCAGTTTTTTATGATATATCCGATGCTCCCTCGCCTTTGCGGAACTTTGTGGGGGACATCCGATGCGAGCCGCCCGGTTGGTGGTTGTGTTCCCTGGCTTTCAGGCCAAGAAAAGGCTGCTGGCAGGCTGCGATTCGATCTTATGCTTCCTTCCAGGTGTTTGTGTTTGTGTTGGCTCACTAGCTGGATGGCTGGCTGGCTGGCTGTCCTAGGCCAAACCCTTTGTTTTGGCTGGCGAATTTTCCGGTTTCTTGTTGCCAGGGCGCGCTGTAAGCTGATTTTCGTTGCTGTGTGTCTACCTTGTCGTAGGTTAGTCACAGCAGGAACCCAGGCCTGTGGCAGGTTTTCTCCCTTTTTCTCCTTCTTTTGCGCCTCTTTTCCATATGCCGCTGCTGCATTTGCAGCATTTGTTGCTGCTGCTCCTGCTGCTGATTGATGGTGTCAATGACTTGCCGAAGAGGCTTCTTTATCGCCCGCCGAAGGTCAAGTGTGTGCGCTGCTCCCGTCCATTAGGGGCTTCTACGCCGTAGATGAGCCCACTGCCCAGCTGTACGGGCTTATCACTGGGTAAACAATCCGCACTGATAGTCATAGTTCGTTTAACCCATAGTTCTGGGCGTTGGGTTCTGGGTAGGTTGATTGGAGGATAAGAGCAGGCGGAAATACACGATTATCTTGCATAGGAGGTACGCATATCTCGGCTTTCTGTTCGAACTTCTAGCGCATTTGTGTTTGCCAGCGATTAGTCATTTTTCGATGGCCTTATCTGAAAAGATGCCCAATCCAGCAAACACTCAGTCATATGTATAGCCGATAGAAAGAGAGAGAGAGAGAGAGAGAGAGGAGCTGTGAATCATCAAACATTTCATTGGGTTTCTATCCAGAAACTGGTTTTCAGAGGAGCGCATTTCTTGGATGTTTGGAGCTCCATTTTCCAAGAAGTACACCTCGAATTCTAACGGCCTTGTGTGTGCACCAAATGTGGCCACGTTTTATCATAACAATGAAACACGAAATGGGATTCTACATAGTTCAACTTTCGCTTGTCGCAAAAACAGCGAAAAGTGAACGTTCGTGTCGCTTTGACAGTTTTCGGCGTAGAATCTGAAACTACAATAGAATTTTTTCTCTAGTAATTACATAAGCATACGAGTATAAACAATTGATAATAACAATCATGGCCCCTACGTGCCTGCTTTCCGAGAACGCCGCAAAATATTTATGCATTATCCAACAGCCAGGCACATTCCCTGCACTGAAACAAATGGCACATCACCATCATGCAGTTGCCAAAATATCATATTCACTGGCATACTATCAGATTTTGTTTATTATTCGGTCATGGAATATATGGGAAATATACCATCTAGAACCAACACAATAGAACCCATTCGGGTTTTCCCTGTGCAAAACGACGAGAAAACTTTCTGTAATAGACGACGAATCCGTGGAAATGAATTTCTCGGCGGCTGTTTTCAATGAATGAAACAATCTAAAAATAAAATAAATATACGAGGAACAATGTCTGGGTGACAGATGCGGGCGGGATCTCGGCTATGTGGGGTGGATTAGAACTATGGAGCTATGCCAATTAGTCGGCCAGATCCAGCTCCAGCTGAGCGGGCAAAATCCCACTGCCACAGCCAACAGTGAGCACAATAATTGGGCCTTACATAAGCTGGAAACGGCATTGACACCTCCACACCCCCACACCACCCAAATCCCCTCCACAATCCGACGTGCAAAAATGTAGCCAAAAAAAAGAAAAACACGAAACAGCGGTAGTATACGACTCGAATATGGTATGTCGCATATATCTGTATCTTTAATAAATAAGAAATCGATCTGTTGGTAAGGTATTATGTTTGCTATTAACGTCATATGATAGTAATTATCGATGAGACATTCGTGGGGTAATTACAAGTTGCAACTTCAGAAAACAAACCAACCCTCAACTACAGAGAATCGTCAGGGGCTTTTTGAGTGACTCATTTGAATGCCATTCCACTATTCCGACTTAAAAAACAAACAATATTTGAACAACAAAGCTGCCAAATAAACTCAACTGTAGTCTCAATAGGTGAAGCACAAAGATAGGAGTATCTTTGCACAATAAATACATTTCCTATCTATCCTTGGGGTAAATGTAAACAGGGGCCGAAAAATGAAGGCTGCTGGGCGACGTGAAGTCGTCAAGCGAGATTCATTCATAAAAAGCTCCACTCAGCACCTTCGAATCTGGGAATTCCAGTGGCCAAGCAAACGCCGAGGCCTCCGCAGATAGACAATCTTCAATTTCGTCTGTCAATCGTAAGATATCATAAAAGTCGCCGATTACGTAGGCAGCCTGTTGTGTCATTGGCATGCGAAATGGGCTAGGAAAAAGTCCATTAGATACACAAAAGTGAAATTCGCCCATTCAAATGCTCCGTTTCACTTAACATTCTTATCACATGTCGGCCATAATGCTTGTTTATTTTTAGCTTGTTTCGCAAGAAACAGATATGAGAATAGGGTAGATAATAGATAAATACGTTTCCCAAACCGTAAGCCCATCTTCGCTGATTGCGCACTGACACAGTTTTGGGACAACACTCAATCAACAAGCAATTGAAAACTGCTCATCGAATCACTGGGAAATCGGGCCAGTCTCCCATAAACATTGCGGAAGAATGTCTCGATTGATCCCCATTGTCTGGGGGCGATTAAAGGGGTGTGGACTTCATATTGGAAACAACGCAGGCAGGTTCTTACAAAGAATTTTCGGGGATCGGATTACTCACTGTGTATCTGATTCTGGTGTACAAGCGAGAGAAATGGCAATTAAAATCCGATGCTCTGGTTTTAATAACTTCATTAAGAACTGAAGAATTTATTGAACACATTCTTAGTTTCTTATTTCCCAATTGTATGAAGCTAAATAATATGAATGTTTTTTAGGCAGGGGAAACAAGATGTGGGAATTTTATGTCCATTGAGATCTTCTTTTCCCAAATCAAGCTTACATTATTACAAAATTTTATTATTTTACAAAAAAAAGGGTTCATTACCATTTAGTGTTAAAAAGGTTGATTTAGTCCTCTAAGCCCAAGGGACATACACTTCGCTTTAAATATTGATTTCTTTACTTATTGAATTACTTGAATTATCGCATTTATAAAAGCAATACTCATAAAAACGCCTGTCTTACAGATATTAAATATGGAAGACGATTCAAATTGGTATCGTGCGGAGCTGGATGGAAAGGAAGGCCTCATACCCAGTAATTACATAGAAATGAAGAATCACGAGTAAGTTCATACCGAAATTCCCAAATAGAGAACCACCACATAATTAACATTTCTTTTGTAGCTGGTACTATGGACGCATCACACGCGCCGATGCCGAGAAGCTACTGTCAAATAAGCACGAAGGCGCCTTCTTGATACGCATCAGCGAATCCAGTCCCGGCGATTTCTCCTTATCAGTCAAGTGAGTTCCCTGAATGGGCCAGCTTTCATATGATTGAAACCACATAATGGAAACCCCTTGCCCCACAGATGCCCCGATGGCGTTCAGCATTTCAAGGTTCTGCGCGATGCCCAAAGCAAATTCTTCCTCTGGGTGGTCAAGTTCAACTCCCTCAACGAACTGGTCGAATATCATCGGACGGCGAGCGTTTCCCGGTCGCAGGATGTCAAATTGCGTGATATGATACCTGAAGAGGTGGGTGTGCCGTCCATTACACTGACGAGTTTGCTTAGCAGACATACTAATTCATTTTAAAAATACAAATTTCGCATAAGACATTGAGGTCATGCTTTCGTACGCTGCCGCCCACCCATTTGAACTATAAACAAGCAGTGATGCCAAGAATATTAGATTGGATTCATGATGTCCGAACGATTTCTTTTTTGCAGATGCTCGTGCAGGCGCTGTACGATTTTGTGCCACAGGAATCCGGGGAATTGGACTTCAGACGCGGCGATGTCATCACCGTAACAGATCGCTCCGATGAGAACTGGTGGAACGGCGAGATCGGCAATAGGAAAGGAATCTTCCCAGCAACTTATGTGACGCCATATCATTCATAATAAGATAACTTCTAAGGAGGGACGCCAAACACAACCCTCTCCGGGAAACGCGAAAAACACAACACACAACCATAACGTTTAGGCAGCAACATCAGCAATTGCGAATAACAACAAGAAGGAACTAAACACAAATTTTAAATATTTATATACAAGAAACGTGGACATAAATTCTGTAGACAACGTATACAACACAAGTTTAAGCCTATAAGCCGAATGCATTTTTTACGTTTTGACGTTTTTTGATAAAACAATACATTACGATACCATTACGAAATCGATTAATAGCAACTGAGTGACACTTTAAACTAGATATGTAAATATATTTGTGTATGTATAGCTGCGGCCGAATAAAAAGCATTCGATCGTAGTTTTCCTCTGGCATCGTTCCAGACAGAGGACAAAACTCACTGCTAGCATCTTGACCGCAACTATAGGCATATGCAAGTATGTCTACATACCAGACGGCACTATTATTATTATTGTAAACAAGCAGATTTTTGATATAAATATATAATTTAAGTTCGATAAAGAGAATTGAATTTTTGTCCTGTGTTGAGGATTGCCCTACCATGTGCTCTTTAGTTTATTTTTGATGTTTTTGATGTGAACGAGTGCGTTTCGAAGCGAGTGAACACTTATATTATTATGATTATATGATAACGAATTACCAACCAACCTAATGCTTAACACGTTTTATAGAAAACAAAACAAATTCACTATGAAAAGAAAACTTTTGCCTAAATGTCTCAAAGCTGAAGACAATTAAAACAAAATTTATATTATATTATCGTAAATGCCTACCACATAAATTAAATTAATTTTTGCATCGCTGGTTACTATATGCATACATGCACGCATCTATAAATAAATATGTATCTTCTTAATGCAAATTGAACGATATTAGGCCTCGGCTGCACATGCAACTTTTGCGGCGACTGTAAATTGATTATGTGAAATTTTGTCCCTTCGCTTTAAAGTTTAAAATTGTCAATAATTATAATTTTGCATCGCGTCTTCTGACCACAAACTCTATGGACGAAAAATGAATCTTGAAAACTGGAAGTAGAAACATTTGTGACATGTGTAAAAAGTTTCAAACTGCTGCTATATCATATTGTGCTATAAATTATTACTACTACTATTTATATAATTGGTTGAGTGTGCTGTGTGTAATCTTTTTTGTCATCAGCAAGGGAATTAGTTGCACGTTCGAGCGTTTTTCAACTACATAACTATATGCATTAATAAATGTAATGAGAGTTGCCAATATAAAGTAATTTAAACAACAACAAAATGCTAAAACGAAACATTTAAGGCCTATTTTTTTATCTATATATAAATATATCGAAGCAAATACATTTATACATTTTCCTAATATCCACCAAACTAAGAAACACGACGACGATGCCTCATGGAAACAACACATCAAAAATAACTTTTGATAGGCCATAGTTTTACATAAGCCGCAATTTATATTGGCCAGCAGCTGGAAGCACGACAGTTTTGTACTTTTTGAGCATATTTGCAGGCGTTGGCGAGCATTTCCCGGCCCAGAACCAGTAGTAGCCGCATATTTAAACATAAATTCTAATCGTAACAATAAAGCAGGCAATTGACAAGGTTTAGATATTAACGAACAAGCGAATACACAAATGAAACATTGCATACGGTATGTTAAGTTGAGTACGTAGTTTAAGCAACAAACTGATTTATCTAATAAACTATGATATATACATTTGCATTTGAATTGGCGGGTAAGAGGGGGATTTTGAATAATGCAGGTTGGAGTTATCGATAAGTGATAGTCCGGGACTTGAATTAACAGGAAACTACAACAGTTACTGTTACGTTAACAGAGCAATACAAAGGATTGTGCCCCTTGCTAGTCTTTAGCAGAGTTTCATTCGTTTATTTGGGCTTTTAAAGTCCACTAATTTTAAATGTTGGATCGGAAAGTGGCACAAACAATATCGCTACAACATTTGAAAACTATGAGAAAATGTATCTAACAGAAGTCAACAAGACTACGGTTAAAGTGGGTTGAGTCTGGGCTACGTGCTATCGAAATTTCCATCCGCTGATCAATTCGCAAATTTTCTGGTATTTTATTTGTAATATGCACAAATGGTTTATATTGCAGTGACAGTCGCGGTCACACTGGTCATAGGCAATAAGAAAAAAAGAAACTCCACGGCACGGTCGTCCAATTAAGTTAATTTTTCTAAGTAAACATACAAGTGCAGATACGCCGTGCGCATTCAAGCTAGCGTACAGCTACCCACGCCGCAGTTGCCGAACGCGAATCGAAGGCGCGATCCGTAGTTGCGCCAGCAGTGCGCTCCACGTGTGAGAATAGTCAGGAAAAGCCAGCGCACACACACAAACGCGCGCGTACATACGTGAAGTACACGTACACAAATGCGCGCGAGGGAAAAGCGCTAGGTCAGAGGAAAGTGAAAAGTGAAAAGCGTGAAGAGAGCGCGTCAGGCGTCAGGAATCGGACGACGTAACCAGCTGGGTGAAAATGGCGCTGCTCGCCTACCGGGACAAGCATATCCTGAGTGCCCAGCAGCTGAGGAAACTCAGCGAGCACAAGTACTCCTGCTTCAGCGCCAGCCTGCTCGATCCGCTGCTGCAGCCATGGTGGAACTGGTTGGTGTCCCAGACGCCCCTTTGGCTGGCCCCCAACCTCATCACCATCGTGGGACTGATCCTCAATGTGGTCACCACCCTGATACTAATCTGGTGAGTCCCATAGCCCCTGCTGGTCTTTTGCCGGCTACCCCCCTGCAAATTGGCTGCATGGCCTCGATGAACCATTTAGCCAGCAAATTTCATCACCTCTTGCGGGAATTGGGAATCCACATCAGCTGCTTTGCTCCATCTATCAACTGTCACTTGTCGTTCTCGGTTTGCCGAGTTTGTTTGCCAGAAAGCAAATATGTTCTCTGATTTAGAAGGAGTCTTCTATCTCGCAAGACTTAAGACTATTATAATGTTAGCATTATTTTACATTCTTATGCAACTAGAATATGTTTTTTGATCAATTATATGAAGGCTTTGCTGGGGTCTTTTCTTCATTTCTATTATTTTTACTGTTGATCAAAGTTATTTCCAACTGTAGAAGTTGCATTCTTTCACTATTCGTGGGTGGCTTATTTTATATCCCAATTAGTGAGCGCAAATATTTGAAAATAGCGTATAAAGGCTGAAAATAACAATTCCTTCCAGGTAATGATAGCAAATTAGTTCAATGCAAAATACAAGAAAATCAGGCGATCGCCCGTGCTCGTTTCGTAATGCGCGGCGATAGCGTATCATTCCATAACCATGCTAACTAGCCAACTAACTACACCCCAGGGTGGGGGAATTCGGTGGCTACGGGCGACCCGTCTCCAGAACTTGGACACAGAATGTGCCAGCGATAAGAGAAGCGACGGCGTCTGGCCACTTTACCCATCACACACGAACTGCGCGAATTATAAGTAATCGCAATCATCGTCGTTTGTCGTCGTTTATGACGCATTTCTTTAGTCTGAGGGCGTTGCAAAAAAGGCAACATTAAACGATAAGTAAATAAACAATGGCGGCTAATCATCGTTGCATCTTAAGGCTGAAGTACTGCCTTGAAGACCAACAGGTGCCAGAAACAAAGCATTTCACAAAGTCTCAGCAATGATAAGGCAAAGTTCACTTGAGTTAACCCCGGGTACAAATTTAGCATTTTCCAATTGTTTGCCTTTTAATTGGGATACCTTTGATTGAATTAGAACGACAATTTGCATTTCTAATTGATTTTTATGGGCCTGTGTCCGACTGACACATGACCATGCTTCGCTACTCCGAACGGAGAAACACAAAAGGTTGCAGAACTAAATTTAGTAAGAGACTTTCACTCGGGCTGTGGAGAAAACCCTGCTTTTCTAATGATATGGCCCAGAAAGCAGCGTATTTCCATATTTCCTGATCTTTCTCACCAAGTGCACGTAAGTGACAATGTGGTAAAAACTAGTAAAACACTGAAAGCCTGCTGTTTTTAGCACCTAAATGCGAGATTAAGTTAAGTAAAGGGGCAAATGCCATGTGAATTTAATTATTTAAAATGGTATGACGGTTTGAAAAATGAAATTTGAATAAACCATTCGGCAAAGCCCACGTGTGCCCACTTTCCCCCCATTATGGTTGATTGCTTCAGAGCGCTGGCATGCCAATCAAAGTGGCCGAAAAGTATCTTACTTCTGTTCCCCGGCAGATGAATCAGCTTGAAAGCTGCTCACGTGTCGGTCTCTTTTATTTATAAATCGATATATGTACATGCTATGGGTTCTACATGTATATTCATTCACAAAACCTCGCCAAAAGACCAGACCGGTTCTATTTGCACTTTACCCATTATTATTATTCCACATTTGTTTGCGCTTTTGTATTTGTTTTAATAATTTCGTTGGTTGCCAGCCAACGCTTGCGGATTTAGCTGAACCTCTCTAGGTCAGTGGGACTGGATAGAATAGTGTCAATCTGTGCATGGCGATGATTCAGCTGGAATGAGCCTTTCTGCTCGCACCGCTCGTCGCTTGTTGGGTGCCAAAATTGCGAGCCGGAACCGCAAAGTCAGCTGATTTGGCGATGTTCTGTAGGTGATAGCTGTCCGCTTATCTGGCTCTTTCAAATGGCTGCCGCAAAGTAGTGATTTCTTACTTAGCCTGAGCGATAATTAGGGAGCTCTGCTTGGGAACTTTGCTCATCAGGCGATCCTATGCTCACTGACGTCATTCACAGGGGCTAATTGACATGGAAACGCACAAAACCGTTTGAAATTCTACACTTGGCAGCCCTCGCAGCCTTAATTCTCTTTGCCTGTTCATTAATCAATTACGTGAAATTATAACAATAAGCAGAAATGTAATACGGAATTGTCAGCATGAATTAACTCGAATGTGAGTCAAGTTACAACAATATTTATGTGGTTTCACCATTGGAGATTTTCATTTTAAGCTGCCGTTTCTGTGATGAATTGGAATGAATCATCTTACAGAACGTATATGCAATAACAACCTGGTCAGCCTTATCAAAAGTTCGAAAGAACCCAATCACTGTCATTATCCACTTGATTTTAACTATGTGTTTTTGTATACCATCTCCAGTTATAGCCCAAACGGTGTTGAGGCTCCGCCACGTTGGACCTGCTTGCTCTGCGCGCTGGGTCTGTTCATCTACCAGAGTCTGGACTCCATCGACGGGAAGCAGGCGCGACGCACGAATACCTCATCGCCGTTGGGCGAGCTCTTCGACCATGGCTGTGACTCTATTTCCACGGTGTTTGTGGCCCTATCGGCATGCATCTCCTGCCAACTGGGCCACTATCCCAACTGGCTGTTCTTCCAGGTGAGTGGATTACGCATGGATTATTCAGAGCGCGATAAATTCTGAACTTCTCTTGCAGTGCTTCTGTGCTATAGCGCTCTTCTACTGCGCCCACTGGCAGACTTATGTGTCCGGAACGATGCGCTTCGGCAGAATTGATGTGACGGAGGCACAGTTCTCAATTATAGCAATTCATCTGGTTTCGGCTGCACTGGGTCCTGAGATCTGGCTCACCAAGGTAGGGGAGGTTCGCCCGGAGGCGCCCGGCGAAGATACTTTAAAGCATTGTTTCCAGAACTTCTTTGCATATCCTATAATTATTTCCTTAGATATGTAAGCATATATTTAAGAGTTTTATTTCGTTACGTTTATCCTAGAGTTTAGAGTTCGAGTTTCGTTTAGGCTGCTTAGGATTAAGCTCGGCTCAGCTGCCTTAAGTTCTGTTCTATGCGAATTAGCGTGCTAGTTCTAGTGTTTGAATTCAGCTACCCAACCGTTGAGTTCCCTTTTTTTTTCATTTAGCATGGATAGGGAACCACGAACGATGTTAGTTTATTGAGGTCCGAACAAAACACACAGCTCTCCGAACAGAATACTTATGTATAGTGCTCATATAGATTCTAGTTGAACTTTAACCACGACCAGTAATTGCAAATGTCTAATACCTTCTACTTCTATGTACATATTGCGTACTGTGCGCGCCTCTCTAAACCTGCCGCAATCCAATGTCGGTCGCGGTACAACTTAAAACTTAACAAACGAACACCACACGCACATATAACACTCAGATCGGCATTGGCAGTATACAGCTTTGGTATGGGCCGGCAGTGACGACCATTGTGTGCGGTCTGCTCTCCCTAGCTTATGTGTTTTCCGTCATTAAAGCCGGTGGTGTTGGCAAGAACGGCTCGACAGTTGCTGTAAGTCCTTAACACCTCCCACACACACACAAACACACACACGCACACTAAACACACACAAGCACACAAAACACTAATACCAATAAACACCAAACACACGGAAACAAAAAATATTTTGGCTGCTCAAAAAGAGATGAATCCTAATTGGAAGAGCTTTCCATTTTCAACTAGCTTTCTACTTGCTGACCAGCTCAGCTGAGTTTCGAGGAAGGTGCGTGGCGTGAGGATAACCCCTTAACCCCTCTATCCCACTCTTTAACCCCCAGTTGCTTGCCTTTTTAATCTGTGCCGTTGTTGATTCTTGTTCATGTGTCTTTGGTTCGAACGGCTCAGCTGCTGCAAAACATAATATTTCTGCTTTGTTGCTATTGACACCACTCAAACATGACCGATTCGGAAGCAAAACGAGAGCATGCTTTAAAAAACTCATACACAATAACTCTTTGAGGCTGCTGAATGCGAAACCTAAGTTAATTTTTAGTAAAGCCTAATATCGATCTATGTATTTGCCCTGTCCAATTGTCCAGTTGACATTTTTGGTCCTTCTATTTACTATTTATGTCTTTTTAATTGTCTATCGGTTTTGGATCTATATATTTAACCCACAAGTAATGTTAAAATCTACTCTATTTCGTATGTATTCCTAAGCATAGTTTGTAAGTTAGAGTGATGGGGTGTTCACAGTTTAATGCGACTTTTAACACTCCACAAACTCCTTTAGCAATCCCCACATTTTACCAAACAAGTTTCCCTCATCCTCTGAATGTAGTTCCAGATTCTAAATTAAATTCTTTTCTTGCAATCTTTCATCTTTACTAGATACCAATCGTGGGCCTTTCATGGAATTATACAATATTAGTATTTATCACATTCGGTTATACCTTGAATATAATCAATTTCCTAAAAATGTTTACTGAAGGCGGCAGTGGCAAAAACGGCTCCTCAGTTGCTGTAAGCATTGCATCCACCTCTCGAAATAACGAGGCGAAAAACAATTATGAAACCTGTATGAAAACTTAACAGACTAACTTGAAAGCGGGTCATTAATCAATCCGTAGCCCCAGCCATAACATTTTTAACTAATCTTTGGTTCTGCTTTTTGGGTTCTACTCTACTAATATCCCTTTTGCATTTTCCTTTCAATTCGATTTGGAAATGGTTTGCAGTTTCGGCTCGTTCGGTGGAGGGCTCTGGAATTCGGTTTGGCCGCCTCTAGCACGCGATAATACTCGTATCCTAATATCCTAATCACCAGATCGACTAAAACTCCATATCATTGAATGCCATTGAAAGCATGCTGCTGCTTGGGTTTACTTAGCTGTTTAAGTGGTATTACGTTAATATTGAGCTACTAATCGAATGACACTTATTGGTGTTTGTTATTATTATAATATTATAATTTATTAGCCTAAGCTTAATATTATTTAAAACTGGCTGACTGTGAAGCTTGTAAGATGTTATCCTTTAAGTTCTTAGCCACACTTTTGCTATCGAAAGCATTCTGGAAACACCGCAAGTGTTTCGTAATGACAAATGAAATTTTAATGCGCGTCGTTCTTTTCTTCCGCACGCAATCAATCAATCAATCGATATCGTTTGACCAAACCAAACCAAACCAAACCAAACCAAAACGAACCCAAAACCCATTACTACCCGCAATCCTTGACATTGGCAGCTGCCGCACTTCAACTGCGAATCGCGATTTCTGCCAATTTATGTGGCCTGCGGCGTTGATTTGATTCTAGCTCTGCGCTACACGAAATGCATTTTGACCGAGGGTTGCGGCAAGAACGGATCATCGGTTGCTGTAAGAATCTTACGTTTAAGTTGTCCCCGCAGAACAACACCCATCGAGATAGCCTCGTCCATGTCCTGGTGTGCAGTGCGTTTGGAAACAAAAACATACATACTTCATGTGGTATCCTATGTCTTATGTGGCTTCAACGCACTGTAAATCGGCTTCAGTAGATACACAGTATACAGATACAGATACTGAATGCCTGAGCGTCTTGCCTTTGACTACCTAGAGTAATGCTATCGTTGTCGGTCCAAGTGCACGTCCCTCGTTCGTTGATACATAGTTTAATTTTTATTTGTTTAGCTCGTACTTCTTATTTGGGTGACAGTTTGGCATGGCATGTAGTTAGTTTTATTTTGCGTATTGTGCTTTCGTTCGATGATAATTGGCTTCGTATACTGACATTTTGCACTTAAAACCCACAACAACCAACCGATCCACCTCCTACCACCTACCACCTACCACCCACCCACACACCCGCCCAATAGCGCTAGACCTTTGTAAATAAAACATGTAATAAACAAATCTGTAAAGCGCAATTTCCCCCCGAGTGTTTGGGTTACATGTCGTCTGGAGGGGAAATTGCGGAACCCCAAAACACCAAAGCCAAAACAATTTTTGTTCACTTTTGTTTGTGCACTCGCCACACGTTGTGACCCTTGCAAAATGTGCCGTAGATCACCGTCAACCAATCAGTCGTTTAAAGTCCAATGAGCACAGCGGCGACACTTTGCAAGCGTGCAACGTACATGAGAATCGATGTCCACTAACTGAGTGATTTTCATGCTCTCGCAGGGCACCAGTGTCCTCTCGCCCAGCATTCCGCTCACGCTGGTGGTGCTGCCCGCCCTGATCATTGCCCAGAAGTCGCCGCACAACATCTTCACCGAGCACGCGTCGGTGTACATCCTGGCCTTCGGCATGGTGGCCGCCAAGGTCACCAATAAGTTGGTGGTGAGTACTGCAACTATTACTCATACTTGAACCATTGCTATCACTGTGATTGCCCCGCAGATTGCCCACATGACCAAGGCGGAGATGGAGTATCTGGACTGGTCGCTGCTCGGCCCCGCGCTGCTGTTCCTCAACCAGTACTTCAACTGCATTGTGCCGGAGATCTGGCTGCTGTGGTTCACGCTCATCTGGGGCACCCAGGATCTGTTGCGCTACTGCGCCCAGGTGTGCCTGGAGATTTGCCAGCACCTGCGCATCGATCTCTTCCGGATACCGTACACGCCCAAGGGCGTGGCCCCACATCCGGCCACCGCCTCGGTGAGCAGCCAAAGCAACTTCGGCGGCTTTGGCAGCAGTGCGGACAAGAACGGCGGCAGCGCGCATCGAAAGTCGAAGAGCAAACCGCACTAGGTTCCGGTTTTCCGCTATATTAATTAGTAATTTTACAAATTTACGTCGTTAGAGCCAAGGGATACTCGTAGGAGCAGGCGGAGCGCAAGTAATACAAACCCGTAAACACAACCCAACAAAATTCACCGTCAATGTTTTGGCATAGAACCAAAACCACTGAGGAACAACCAAACGAAATGAAACTAAACAATAACAACAGATAGAGAAGTTAGCGAAAGGGCGAAGCAAGATGTTGCTCCTACATTTTAGTATATAGTTTACAACACGTTGTTGTAGCAAAGAAGGCAAAGTGGCTAGGGCTGCTAGGAGAAAGAACTGTTGCAGTCTCCGATATCAATTATATGGCTAAATATATAAAAAACAAAACCTATATTTTGTATGATTGTGTAAGTTGTAATAAATCTAGATCGCAGTACTTTTACTGCGCTAATTCACACATGTGCAAATGCCAAGAAGCAAGCAGAGCCAGCCCAAAAATAGCTCGACGAAAGCTCAACCTACGTTTAAGTCCTGTTACCACCCATTGGTACCATTGGCAATCGATCCATCCCACGAAAGACAGCAGATTTAGTGCGGGCGCAGTTGGGATATTCAGTTGAGGCCACTAAATCAATTCATGTTACTCGTTTTAGTGCTTAGTTCTCTACTCATCGCGGTCGTCCGAAGGGCCGCGACATTCTAAATGGTGACTCATTTCAAAAAGCGCACTACCTACCCTGACTAGGCCCATAACTTTAGTGCGTTTCGCGTGACTACATCTTATGCATCCTAATCCTAGCTGAAAACCTATATTTGTAGCTTGCACGGCGCTGGCCGGCAACTTTAAAGTTAAACTATTATGGATTATGTTTTATGTTGTACATGAAAATGGAGACGAAACCAACAGCAAGAAGTAGAAATAAAACGAATTGCTAAACGTAAATTTATGGTATGCTATTTATTTAATGGAAAATTTTGGTTACAGTAACTCAATATAATTGCATTGTTAAGCAAACACGTTTAACACGATTAACAAACTTTGAACTTTTCGTTTAGGTAAACACTCAAAGGACAACAATTCAAATGAAAGGGTACAAATTGTACAAATAAGTAACTGGAACTAATGTGTTGGCTAGGCCAGCCGACCCCGGTCGCAAAGGTAGGCCATCAGAGCCATGTCGCGCACCTCCAGTGTCACGCGATTGCGATGCCGGGTTAGCATGTAGGAGTCCGACAGCCGCTGCGTCACGTACATCTCGCAGGACTCCTGCATGGCCATAAAGGCGCCCTCGGAGACCCTCAACGGCTCTCCATCGCTGTACTTCACGATGAACTCGCGCACCAGACGCGAGAACGGCAGCTTGGGTATCAGTGTGCCGGAATGGTTCTGCAGTCGCCGTATCTCGAGATCCATCCGCTTGGCTCTGCTGATGGGATTGGCCATTTTGCGCCGCCTGGTCTGGTTCTGTGCAGCAAATGGTCCCGCTGCCCGCGAGCTAGTTTCTTGGCGCACTGGTGTCGGACGCGTCTGCTTTGATCTGGCTGCCGGATGGCGATTCTCCTGGTCCTCCTCCTCGTCGCTGCTAGTGTAGGTGCGGGTCGCTGGCTGATTGCGCATCGTGGAGCAACGACGATTGTAGCCCTCCTGTAGCGTCAGTTGGCTGGTGGTGAACTCCAGGCCGTAGTCGGTGTCGTCTTCTGGCTCCGGCGAGCGGAATGCTTTGTCGTCGTCGCTTGGAGGCTTTGAGTTGTTCATTGATGGGTTGGGGTTACGCTTGGCAGCATTGTGTCGGGGCATTTTCGAATTTTGTGAATTTGTTGAAAACGAAAACAAAATTTTTGAAAGAACTCCCGCCTTTTTTGGGTAGTGTGACCGTATGACCGCTACAGTGAGAATTTGAGTGAGTGGCAGCACTGTTAACTAAATATACATAATTATACGCTTGGTAATAGAAATGTATTCGTTTATGTAACAATTATTTTTTATATGAAACGCGGTTAATTTTTCTAGAAGTCTGGCACTTTTAGTTTATTAGCATTGAATTTTTGAATCCCAACTAAAATCCATTAATTCATGTATAAATATCGATCAACTCCCACCCCTAACTGCACAGCTGATGCGAAATCGTATTGTTTACCACTAGAATTTTTGGATAATTGCCCAATTTCGCCATTTAAACACATTAACAGAGCACTGAGGACACAGCCATGTCGGAGGACCATGGCAAAGACTACACACTGGAGGCCGACTCCGAGCTGCGCTTTGAGATCGAGCACAAGGACGCCAAAGTGCTGGTGTCCGTAAGTGGACCAATAACCCCTTTTGGATTTATGCTATAATCAAATGTATTTCAGCTTGTCAGCGGATTTGCGGAGCTGTTCGGCACGGAGCTGGTGAAGAAAAAGCAATACGAGTTCGGCGTGGGCGCCAAGGTGGCCATCTTCACGTATCAGGGCTGTGTGCTCCACGTTTCCGGTAAAATGGACGTGTGCTACATCTCCAAGGAGACACCGATGGTGCAGTACGTCAACTGCCACACGGCACTGGAGCAATTTCGCATGGAAGCCGAGGAGAAGGATCGCCACGGACCAGTTGCCATGGTCGTCGGTCCAATGGACGTGGGCAAGAGCACTCTCTGCCGCATTCTGCTCAACTACGCTGTGCGCGTGGGACGTCGCCCGCTGTACGCCGACTTGGACGTGGGACAGGGCTCCATTGCCATTTCCGGCAATGTGGCCACCATCCTCATCGAGCGACCTGCGAACGTGGAGGAGGGATTCTCCAAAACAGCGCCGCTGGTCTATCACTTTGGCCATAAGTCGCCCGGCGCCAACAGCATCTTGTACAACGCTGTGGTTTCCAAAATGGCCGAGGTCACGCTGCATTCCCTGAACAGCAACAAGCGAAGTAAGTAATAAAATTATAAGCTCTATATAGTACGAAATCCTCCGTTTTCACAGCAAAAAGCTCCGGCATCATCATAAACACTTGTGGCTGGGTAAAGGGCTCCGGCTATGCGCACCTGTTGCACGCGGCCAAAGCTTATGGAGCCTGCGCCATCTTCGTTCTGGACCAGGAGCGACTGTACAACGAGCTGCTACGGGACGTGCCCAAGGGTGTTCATGTGGTACTGCTGCCCAAGAGCGGCGGTGTCGTAGAGCGCAGCAAAGAGCAGCGGCACGAGGCGAGGGATCAGCGCGTTAAGGAGTACTTCTACGGCAATGCAAGGGCGCCCTTTTATCCGTTCAGCTTCGAGGTGAAGTTCCAGGACCTGCGACTGTACAAGATCGGGGCACCGCCGCTGCCCGACTCCTGCATGCCACTTGGAATGAAGGCGGAGGATAACAAGACCAAGGTGGTCGCTGTTACTCCCACACCCGCGCTTATCCATCATGTGCTGGCACTAAGCTTCTCCGAGTCCGTGGAGGATGATGTGATTGGCACCAACGTAGCTGGCTTCTGCTGCGTGTAAGTACTGCTTAAACTGTGTGCTTGCACTAGTTATATCTGATTATTGTTATCATCCTTAGAACCGAAGTGGATATGGAAAGACAGGCGGTGATGTTGCTTTCGCCGCAACCGCGTCCTTTGCCCCCGAACGCCCTGCTCCTGTGGTCAGAACTCCAATTCATGGACAATCACACCTAGCACTTGTAAATGCTTTACTCTAGATGTAATTTAAGAATTTTTAAATTAATGTTTGCGTTACGAAAAATACAGTTCAGATGTGCAAGCAGTCAACTCATATTTTTCCACAACTTCTCAAACGTTTTAACTTCGTAAAAAAAAAAGAAAATATATAAACAAATTAAAAGGATTGCTACATTTAAGTACTAATGCTTTAATTGCACTTCTCATTGTAGAACGTACCCATTAATTTCATAACCAGGTTATTCTCCACTAAATAACAGAACAGAAAAGAGAAATATTGTAATTTCGACAAATAAAAAGCAGTGAAGTCCGCTATAAATAAGAGTTTTGCTAAAAGTTGCATTTAAAAAAATGTATTTCGTGCGTCATTTGTTAAAATATAATTGAATAATATAATGCTACAATATTTTTAGTAACAAACGGTGTACTAAATTTTTATCCAGTTTCACAACCAACCGTGTACTTCGTAAAATATACTTCTAGTATATTTTCGGCATATTTAGAACACTTTTTTGGTAATATTTAGGCAATTTAGGTGCAGCCATACTGAGGGCAGCGCACGTCGCCTCAGTGCGGTCACACTGTTCAAAAGAGCGAGACGAAAAACACGGCAACACGGTGAACGGAAGACTCAGTGAAAAGTAAATCAAATATTTACAAAACAAAGTAACCACAAAATGGCTGCGCTCGGTCGAATTGCGTTAGTTGAACAACAAAAAGCGATGAAACGGCGCCGATTAATACACTTTTATGCGGTTTAAACCATAGATACTGTGGAATTTGGCGTGCTTTTCGTGTTTGTTGTGCAGCATGCGAGTTGTTGCTGTTGTTGTGTATATGTGTACCAAATGGTTCTAAAAACAAAACAAGAGATTTTCGGGCATCTAAATTTACGGCCTGCTTGAAAGACGTTCTGTTTCCCCCAGTGTGTGTGTGTGTGTGCGTGCGTGCGCGTGTGTTCTTTTTCTCACTTACTCTCTGTTGCTTTGTTGCTGTTGCTGCTGCATTTTCCAGCGGCAAACGGCGTTTGTTTTGGTTGCGTCGTGAAATTTTCCACTGGAAAGTGCAGCGCAGCGCCTTTTTGGGGGTTGCACATACACACGCACACACCGCAATTCGTCGATTGCCGGCTTGTTGCGCCGTGGAAGCGGCAAAAGAGGTTTCCTAATTACGAAGATTCGCCTTATCACTTACAGTATTTCAATTTGGCGAGCAGTCGGACGGGTGGGGGGTTCCGGTCGGTGGGGTGGAGTGGAGTGGCCTCCAACACAGTTGCACAATTGCTTATCACTCGCTACTTAACGACAACAACAATTTGTGGCTCGCTCACAGGCAAGCACACACACGTAAACAAGGCGATCGCACTGGCCAACAAAGAAGCGGGAAACTCAATTGAGATACTGTAATGGCAACAACAGCAACAGCTAACTTACATACACTGCGCAACAAAAGTGCACGCATTAGGAACTAAAGACTAGTGATCAAATAAATAAATAAATAGCCAAAACATGAAACCTTGTAGTCACAAAATCTTAAACAATGTTCGTCTAATTAAAAAGAGTAGCATTCTATAAATGAAAACAAACATTTTGAATACTATTTAAACAAAATCAACGCAAAGTTAAGCAAATTGAGCTGCTAACGAAATTTGTATTTGAAATGTATTATCAGTAACATGCATCGGTTCTAGTAACTACGAACTATTAAAGAGCATTCCAAACAAAAGGTGTTATTTAATACCCAACGAATGGAAGATTTTCGAACGACCTGTTTTCAAACCTCCCACTCTCTTCCACTTGCAGTTTTTCCGTGTGATTATCATGTGCGCCTAACAAAAGACAAACGATCGGGTCGCGTCATCTGTTGTTTTGCGCCAAATGTCTTAAAATTCCGGCGATAGTGCTTCCAAAATAAGATGGCCCTCGAGCCATACACAAAGTCTGCTGAAATCGAACCTCAATTGTGCCAAGTTATAGAGAATAATGAAGATGTGACAACGAAAGCGACCAAATGCGCGAAATGCGCGAAATCCAACAGCGGAGTGGACTGGCGACAAATGCTGATAGGCTTTCTACTGATTTGCTTTGGCATCTCAAACAGTTGGCAGTACAAAAATGGTAAGTTCTGTGCTTTCAATTCGAACAAAGGGCATCGCATTTGCCAAAGGAGCTGGCAACTGACAAGCATTTGATGGCAGTTCGATTAATTTGACGAGTGGCGAGGGCTTTGAGTTCAAAAAACCGCAGGGATAGACAGTTTGTAATGGGAATGGGTCTGTGATATCGCTCCTTCTTTTCCCTCAAAGGCTTTTGTACTACAGGTGTCTCTCGTTTATGTGAACCAATATACGTTCTTGCGTAATTCTTAGCTTAGATTGCTCTTGTAGCTTACAAGAAAGTAATGTTTAATATCAAGATATATGTATTGGCATTAGAAACTATTTTAATTTAAAGTAATTTCAATTATTTTACCAATGTACACCTTAATATATCAACAATTACAATCAGTTGGCATGCATAAAAATAGCTATATTTATGTTAATCGAATATTTACATGAAAATCTTCATCATAATCTTCATTATTTCAATTTCAATAAGTGCAGTTTAATCTTTAAAAATGGCTCGCTTGGCTCTGGTTTCTTTAGACAAGATGAGAGTACTTCATTGAGCTAACTGCATTAAATGCGTGTTGCCCCCTTCGAGTGTCCACTGTATGCGTTTGTTTATGTGGTTTCAACTGCACTTTTGAGCTTCCCGCTCCCCGCCATCGCCCCTCGCCCAGCATTTATCCCCTTTGCCGCTTTGCGTTTTCCTTTAAGCTCTTTTTCGTGTTGTCAAAGCCCAAAGGCTGACAATTTCTCGGCGCAATGCTTTTATGAATAAACAACTACTACTTATTTAGACTGTAGTACGCACTCAACTTGATTGCACTGCGCATAATTTAGTACCCCCTTCCACTTCTTCATCCTCTGCTGCTTTTTCTACTCTGCGGCCCCACCAAACACTTTGCCACTAGATGCGACGCTAATGAGCTGAAAAAAGCAGCTCACTAATAATTCAGCAGTTGTAATATGGCAAAGTTGCCCGGTAATTGCCGGCATATTTCAAATGCACAAAGCATTGACCCAGGCTCAAAAAGTGTGCACTCAGACAAATTTCGGGGCCCAAAGGCGACATTCTATTAAAAGCTTAGCCGTATATCATATTATTTGCTTAAATATTTTATCTAAATTATTTAGAATTTAAAATAAAATTGATAGATTCTCTCTATAAAAATTAAAAGACTTTTCAAGTTGGAAACTATGAGCAAAGTTGAGATGTGAAAAGGGAATTTACAAATTCAGATGTACGTCTATAGATTGTTTTGTATGACTTCTTGGAAGTTTTTCTCAGTGCATCTTTAAAAAAGGAGCGCAAGGGACAGCAGTAGCAGGGACCTCCACGGGACGAGTCAATATGGAAATAGCAAATGGACAAAGGCCGTCCAAACATCGTTAAGCCCCAAAAAAGCTCGAGTGTTTGGCTGAAAGATAAGCCTTCGGCTCCTTCGTTTTTTTTTCTTCTCTCTTCTTTTTGCGGCTCTCTCCTTCAGTTGCAATCCGGAGTTTTTTGGAGTCCGGAATTGCGAGTACTCCAGCATGCATGGGGGCATCCACAAAGCAAGTGCCGCCGCACCGAAAAGGAAGCCCGAAAACTTAAATTTGTCGAGCCGGGTGGGAGGAAAAAAAGCGCATCAAATATGTACACAAAGCCCCGGGAAAAACCATCTCGCATCTTTCCCGCCCGGCTCTCTGTTTCGTTGTGTGTGGGTGGTTTGGGTGGTGTGTGGATGGTGTGTGGGTGGTGTGTGGGTGGCTGGATGGGTGCTTACTTTCTTTAACACTTTGACGCGCGCACAAAGTGTTTTTTGCCAGCGTTGATTTGCCCATCCTACCCGCTCCACTCGCCAAAAGGAGAAAGAATCCCACACCACTGCCATCCACCCACTTCTTTAAACCTTGTTCTTTTTTGCAGCTAACTGACGTTTTTGCGCGCTGTCATGCCGTGTGGGGGATTCCCCCTTTCTTTTTTTTGGTCCTTTACGCCAGCGCTCAGCGCTATTTGCTTTAGCTTCTATTTACTACGCCGTAGTACGCCAGTTTAGTAGTAATGGGAGTACTTCAAAGGCGACGGCTCCTTTGACGCCACATCCACCGCCCACTGACGGCATCCAGTCATCCCGCAATCCTGCCATCCTGCCATCCTGCCATTCTGCCCGACATCCTTTGCGTCCCCGCGGGACACTCGACATTTCACTGTTGTTGACATTGATTTTGATTTCATTTATGTGTGCACCAGTTCCACTTTCAACTTTCCATCAGCCAGCTGACATTGGCTTAGAATGCCAGTCAACACTTGCCACACTTTGTCTTTCCTCGCGGGATTTGTCCAGGAAGCATTATGCGCTAGTATTTTCTAATTATCCAATTAAAAATGCCCAACTCAATTATCCATGCGTGAATTTGGGCTTCATCTTGGCAATTAAAACATTAATTTGATGCTTTGCATACATTCAGGACTTCAACTATTGCATTAACTAGTTTAATTATATAAATATATAAGTATTTATAAGAAAGATGCCCAAATATAACAATTCCTTAACGCAATTGCGAATCTTAAATTACATCAAAATAACTTTAAATTTACTTCCTGTAGAAAAAAAGACTGGACAATGATTATCGCAATTACTTTAATTAGGTTCCTCCAATTTGCTTAAAGCTTTCATAATTATTAAAATCTGTTGATTAAGTTTCTATACAATGGCAATTACGTCAATGATTATATAATTATAATTCCCTAAGCTGTTTTCAACTTTAATCTGTTACTTCATTTTGCATAGTTATAAACGTAGTGGCCGTAGGGAAATGCACCACTTGAGCTCTGGAAATGCAATTAATCAACTAAAACTTTAATCATACTATTCCAAGCTCGTTTCACAAACTTTTCACAACTGACAGATTGTTGATTTGGTTTCCTATGGAAGTGCAAAGCTGTTAAACAGCTTCCTCTCAGGAATTGCATACAAATATCGGCTTAAACTTAAGTCCAATGAAACGCCCGATCGCACGGCAAACACAATTGGGCTTTAACTAACCCAATCATCCTGGGAGCCATCTGCATTCCGTATGCAAACTGGTAAAACCAAAGGCAAACTCTTGGTCCGCCGGCACAAATGTATCACTTTGCAATTTAAACAATAATGTTGTGGTGTGGTCAGTCCGGCGTCTGTGTAATGCATCTGTGCTGCCCGCCAGTTCGGTTGCATCCACATTATCATCGCATCATGGCATCATGGCATCATGGCATCATCCTGCTCATCAACGCGACGCCCTCCTCCGACCACAGATTTGTGTGGGCGGCTTGGCCTGGCACTGACCTCTGTGTTGGCTGATACAGTTGTGTGTAAGTACACATGTATTCCACTCAGAAAAATGCCCTGATGTATTAGTTTTGAAAGTAGGATTGAAGTAGAACATAGCATAACGTGGAGTTCAAAACTGGCTAGCTGTACTAGCACCTTAATTTCTTATATTTTCTTTAAAACTTACGAAAAAAGCTTAGAATTCGACAGCAATTTATGAAGAGATATATATACATTCTGTAATAGTTTCCTGTGCATATGCGTAATCAGTTTTGGCATTGCCAGCAAATTGGCTGCCATATGCAGCGCGGTTTGCATATGCAAATATGTGTGTGCAACTGCCACAAGAGCAACAACAAAAGCATCGCGAACCCGTCCAACAGCTTTAGGCGGCCAACTTGAGCATCCTTCTGGCGGTGCCGCCGCTTATCACTTATCGTAATCTTGTAATTACGTGTGTTCCACAAATGTTAATTGCGAAAGGGAAACATTGATAGGCTGAGGGCATTCCCAGCTGGTTATCCTCCATCTCGATTCCCTCGCACTTCGGCCAGCACTCCGTTGGTGCTGCAGCTTAAACGAGTTGTTCACATGGCAAATCGTTAATTTAACGATTGTGTTTATTTTTTTGAGGGATTCTATAATAGCACATAAAACCATCCAGCAGTTAGACGGCTGTTTCGTCGGGGCTCTCGTCATTCGAGTCACCATTTTGATGTAGCTCCACTAAATGCAAGCCCACAATCAAAAGGAAATATATTTGCATTGCTTGGAGGGAAAATAATTGAAATGAAACCACGTATGCTTGACCATTATCTTACCCCATATGAGAATAAAAGCCAAGGCCAGTGTAAGGTGGTCATAGGCAAAGATTAGAGACAGGATAACGATTAAGTAGACGAGCACCAAAAAGACTGATTTCAACAACCAAATCAATATGAGTATTAGACCAGACTGAAGGCTAAAAGTATGAAACGAATCAAACTTATACGACTTACATTCAACGACTTACATTCACGCTCATGAGCAGCCCGATATCAGTCAAAAGGTCGACCCCCAGGACCAGCACAACCTGAATACGATTCTTCATCATCGTAACTGTGATAAGATCATGGACATCGTCTCCGCTGTGCTTTTTGGAATACCAATGTCTAACTGAAGAGAAAATAATGAAAATTCATTGTACTAACACGGGAATTTGCATTTACAAATTGGGCCTGGGAAATAGAAGATAACCAGGTGATAGAACAGGCGAAGTAAATCGATTATTACATAGGAAGCTGCTATCACAACGACACCAGTGTTGATCGAGTAGCGGCAAAAGAATTTGTTTAGCAGAGCCATGATACAACTTTATAGTGACTTGAATTTTCTCCAACATATTGTCAGTTTTAGAAAAGCCATCATGCATGTGCTGTATGTTATGTGCTATGTGAGAAATAGCTGCTGTTGAAGGTACATAGGTGCGAATAAAATTATACGACCATAATTTACCCAACAAGTTGCCAATTTAAGGGCCCAAAACATGTCAGCAAGTAATTAAATTTCTATAGCAATTTGCATATCTGCAGGCGCGCAGGCAACCCTGTTTCCTGTGCCCCTGTGTGCGTGTGTATCTGTGTGTATGGGCCACTTAACATAGCCGTTGGCTTTGGCCAACTAACGAACTGAACGAGAAACTGAAATAAAAACAAGGGGACTCGACTCCGGAAACATTTAGGGATGGGGCGATGCACATGCAACATCCCAGTCACATGCAACTGAAGTCGCAGTTTCCAATGCCAACTTCTATGCAAGAAAAATGTACCCAGGGAGTTCTATAAAGAAGACACCAGTACAATCCTTTTAAGTCCTTATAAAACTTGAGTTTATTTTTGATGAATTACATTTGAGCATATTATATTCGAAAGCGATTCACGTTGGCCATTGGTCATGTGAATAAACGATAGTTTCTGCTTTGCTTGAGTCGCCCATCACTAGGTGGCATCTTGGCCGTGTCTCCCTTGCTAACAAGCTCCCCCCTTATACCCTCCCTCTACTCCTGGCCACCTTCCTGTGCCGAAGGGGCTGGTGGGGGGCTTCCTCGGGATGTGTCGCTGCTGCCTCCGCCGCTTTAAATGTCTGGGCGTTCGTGCGTTGCTTGCAACGCAGCAGAGCAGCGCATAAACATGCACATCGTTAAGAGACGAGACCGGGCTCAGACCCAGGCCCAAAATCATGGCCCAGACCCTTTTGGGGCTCCACTCCGCAGTACCCTCTGCCCTTTCCCCCGCCACTTGGCCACTTGCGACTCGTTTCCAAGCTGGTCATTTAGAGGCCAGGCCCAGCATGCCTTCCACCACATATATCCGTACAATCAACAAACCTGGCCAGAAATGTTTTTCCTCTTTTTCTTCTGCTTTATACCATGTTTTTTTTCATTCGATTTTTGTTTTTTTCGTTGGCTTGTTTTGGCCTTTTGACTGCTCTTTGTTTTCGTGTAATTGTTCTGACTGCCGTTCTTGTTTACGTTTCATTGGCTCCCGAGTTTCCCTCTTTTTATTTTTTTTGGCCGAAAGATCTCTGCACTCCATATGGTCAAGTCTCGGGTTTCGTTATCTAATATTGCTGGGAGGAAACATTAATTCGCAGCTCGTTGGCAGATCCTTCGTCTTCATAGTCCAACAGCAGTCTCCCCGTTCGACGAATTGCTAATTTATTTCACTCTTGTACCTCGGAACACGCTTCCTATCTAAACGGAGGGGGAAAAAAACCAATTTAAAGTTTATTTATGGCTTTTATTATTTTATACCCTCTATATTTGGCATTTTTCCTGTTGCTCTTCTTTTTTTCTGGTCTTTGCAGCTGCCTTCGACTGGCGTTTGTCAATTTTTAACCTGTTGTGCATACTAATTTGTCGAAAGCTGGCTTTTTTATATCGTATTTGATTTTCCCTGGAGAGGGTCACTTCTCCATAATTTAAGTGACACTTTGGATGATTTGTGTCCCAAGCGAAAACGCCTTGGTTGATTTTTAATTAATTTTTGTCGATCGATAAATTAAGGCTGTTTAAATATATATTGATTCCTCTGGTCTCCACTTCGTATAAGATCCTTAAACTTTACCAATCAAAACTTTGTAGTCCGGCAGACGGAGAAAAAAATTCGATGGCTAACGCATAAATTAAACCACGATTTCGAATTCCAGCAATCTCCGGGATACATCAACATCATTAGTTATAGGTCGAATACCCAACTGAAACCAGAAAACCACAAAAACTAATTTATCACACAGATGGTTCATGCTTAGTTTTAATGGTTTTTGATGGACAAAAGGAAAGAGTTCGATAACGTCAAACCAAAGCACGACCAATACGGCTGGCAAAAGAATGGAATTGGAAATACCACGCTTTTGGTGGGGAAAATTCGAATGGGTGTTTCGCTGCGACGAAAGCCATAAAGTAATGTAAATTGTTTATCAAGCCGTTGCCATAAATTCATATAAAATTGCAGTGCGAAATTTAACTGCAGCACGCCAACGCAACGAAAATGAGCAGACACTTAAAGTAAACATAAACTTTAACGTAAACATGCACTGCAAGAATGTTTTGTATATAAATTAGGAATGAGTTCTTTTCAAGACAGTTCTTCTATATTATGTTATAATCCGTTATAAAAGTAGAAAGCGAAACTTGCATTTAACTATCTTCTAACTTGGTCAAGCTAAAATTATGATACTAATTAATAGTATGAATAGCAATGCTCGCACTGTTTTTCTATGGTTTGGATATTTGTAGTTGCCACAACTTTTTCTGCGGTGTAGTCGAACTCATTTGTGTGTGTCGTTTGTTGGGAAAAGAGTTCCAAACAAATCATTGGAACCGCTGCTGCGAGTGCGTGCGTTTAAATCTATCAATAGGCCCATTTGTAATTGTTGCAATGGGCAGGCGATTCCGTTTGGGGCCAATGGCATATCATTAGGCATCGGCATCGGAATCGGAATTGGAATTGGAATCGGAATCGTAGGTCCAAAGGGTTATTGCAGGGCATACTGGGCGGCAACAACGAATCATTCTCTAATGTGTTGATACACAAATTGTTCGCCGTTTGTGTTCAATTTCTCCCTTATGGCCCCAGCATGCTAATTAACAGCAAACGAGGGAGATACCATACCATCCGCAGCATCCGCTCCTTTCTCTTTTCCGACAACTTCCTCTGCAGATATGTGGATGTATCTACATCTGTATGTACATGTATCTGGTAAGCTACTCCCTTTCTCTGCCGCACACTCACTCAACTCATTCGCACACCATGTCTGTGGCATTAAGAGTCGAGGTTGTGGTATGTCATGCCATCTTAATAATGACATTTATTTGTAACGTGTTAAGATACTAAATTGCCCCGTCCGTCCACATGCAACATGCAGCACATAACCATACCTCTGAGCGATCCATCTCCATTGGCATGTGAGTGAGGAATACCTGGACAGAGAATGAATATATATGAATACACTTGTATTATATGCCCAACGGATTGCGGTTTTTCTTTCCTGTCCTCGCCTTGCGACGCAGTCTGGGCAATTTTCAACAATTTGCAGCCATTTTTGCCGAGCAACACCAGCATTGGCCAGAAAAGCTATAACAATTTCCATGACTCGAGCTTATTACCTCTGGTATGCGTAATAACTTTAGTGCTGCACACGATTACACTGGCTAACAAAGATGTTTCATTCAAAGTCGGTTCGAGCTTGCAAGTGTGGTATAAATGGTGCAAGGACTTGTTTCAAATGGCCAACTTGTTGGCCAGTGTGCGTTGAATCCGGACACCTCCTCCGATTCAGTTCAGCAATCATCTACAGCTGCCGAGGTGCGTGTGAGTTGAGTTCCTCCGATGGATCTTGGCAATTGTTATAATTTGCCACATATTGAAATTGAATTGCCTGGGCTTGCAACACACATGCCGTGTGCTGGTGTTAGTTCCAGTGGGCTTGCATGTGGCACTCAGCCACTCGCTCACCTTCACGGTAAATGCAGTTGCGCGCTTGACTAATTTCGCATTCATGCCTGCACTGGGTGCAAACAGCTTATTTGGCCGGGTGCGTTGATGTGTGGCTGCTCCCACAAGTTTCCGCTTCCACTTGGCCACTCGATTGGCTGTGGACAGCCGGCTGTTTGCCTCCTTCACTCCGAAGGGATACACATTGCTAATTGGGCTAAAATCAACGATTGGTTGGATATCTACTCGCTAGTGCTCAAGATGTGAATTTCTGCTAGGACTCGTTAATACCAGACCGAGAACTTCCATCATTCTAGGTCTATAGTCATAAAATAATCACAACTTGGGCTTAAGTTTTTGTAGTTTAAAATTTTGAATTTCCGGGTCCACAAACTTCAATATAAGCGTAGCATTAACCTTTTAGAAAGCAGGAAATTCTGAGATTTTAAAGAGACTGAGCAAGTCTTTAAGGTGAAAATCCTGACTTGGGTATATCCCCTAAATGGGGGCGATATAAATTTCGCTTATGACACCTCACTTGACAACGGACAGGCGGTTAAATATGCATAGGAAGGTGTCAAGTCAACTCAACTCAACTCAACTCCACTCCACTCAAGTTGGCGCGAGGCAAAAACACGTTTTGCGACTAAGAGGCGCATTTAAATACAAAAGCAGCAGACTCGACTCGACGCTTTAAAGTTTAAACAAATCAGCTAACAGTAAATAACCTGTTGCGTTTGCGCCATTAATGTCGAACTTCGTTATGTTGATATACGAGCGGTGGCAGGCAGCATAAAGTAAAGTTTTGGGCCCAAAGAGCACCACTCATTGTGATATCGCCAAAGTAATTTTACACCAGTAGACAACAACTTCATTATCGCATAAGCTCCGATAACATGCGTGCCAGAGAGTCCCCAAAAAAATTCAAAATCTTTAAAACAAAAGAAATGCGCGGGGAAACAAACAACAATGCAAACATAATCATTATCGAGATTACGGCCAAATTTATCGAGAGCCGCAGTCTCCAAGTGCTTAACGAGCCCAAAAGATGGCTTCATGGCTTGATTTTGTGCCTGCACTGAGAAAAAATCGCCCTAATAGTGCGGGTATGCGTTCTTTGGTGTCTAGAAACTTTCATTAGGACAGAACATGTAACAGTTCGCTGCATTTGGATATTTCGTGGAACTAAAATATAACAATTGTGTCTCTAAATATTATGAATATAGGGATTATGTTGCAACATTTAACCGAGCAAATGCCTAAGGAATTTGTATTGGCTCGATCAGTATAATTTTGTTGGGTATAATTGCACTGATTTCGCTCTCTGTAGAGATATCCCTTCTTTCTGGCATCGGTTGGCTTAGCTTCTTTTGGGACGCGTCTGTTGGCTC